GCGAACCATGGGTAACGTGGGGAGCAAGGGAAATTGCCGCAACGGCGAAGTCTCCAGGTTATCTCTGCAGCATCTTCTCCTAGGAAGAAAAATTCTAGTTGTAGATGACAATAAGGTGAATCTTAAAGTGGCTGCGGGTGCATTGAAAAGATATGGAGCCGAAGTGGTCTGTGCGGAAAGTGGGAAAGAAGCGATTAGTTTGCTTATGCCACCGCACCGCTTCTCTGCTTGCTTCATGGATATTCAGATGCCGGGAATGGATGGGTATGTTGTGTTTTTTTATTTGATATATGGTCCTGTCGAATCTGGTTTAAAGAATTCATCGCTTTGTTCTGGGGTGTCAGTGGTCCAAAGTGGTTTTGTTTGTGATGGCATGACCATCATCGTAACCAATTAAAGGTTTTGATCCATACTGAATATTTTTGAGAACCGTTAGTTTTGCTGGTCGATCTCGGTTTCTTCTTTTTTAGAAGTTTTAATTGTACATTTTGTACCATAAGCATGATTGCATAATAAAAGCATATTCTTGTACTAATTGTACGTGTAAGAAGTATGACCAAAACAGATTCTGTCGGTTTATGGCATATTTTCCGTCTCTATGGATTCATTACGAAATGATTAGTGAAATTTGGCTAGAATTGAACCAACCCAGAAGTCTCGGGCTTTAATTCTTTCATGTTTTTTAGATTCAAACTGTTTTGGCCATCGGAAGCAAGCTCTCTTTGTAAGATTTTCGCATGTTCATGGGTCTAACTTAAGCTGAAGTAGACATAGGATGCTCTATCTGATGATGGCTTTAATGCTTTGTTGAAGGTTCGAAGCTACAAAAACAATCCGAGACATGGAAAAAAGCGTCAACCGGAAAATCCAACTCGGGGAAGTATCTGCAGAAGCGCACGGAAACGTCTCGAATTGGCACGTGCCCATCTTGGCCATGACGGCGGACGTGATTCATGCGACTCACGAACAGTGCATGAAGTGTGGAATGGATGGATACGTTTCGAAGCCTTTCGAAGCAGAACAACTTTATCGGGAAGTTTCGCGATTTTCCTAATCAGCACTGAATCGGAAGCTGTAAGGGGACTCCATTGCAGGTCGCGGAGTTCATAATGGACTGCCATTCTTCTGGCTTCGCTTCATTGAATTCAAAGTTCCTCACCAAAGTAAGCTTCTGCCTCTGTCAACTTTATTCTTAAATACTTAGATGTGTTAGCCAAATTGTTCATTGGCTATTGCTAACTGCTGATTTATTCAACGAAAAGCTGGGAACCTCCCCGTAATTTCTCGCTTTCTTGTAAAGAATTTTTCAGGTATTACTTGTGGAAGAGTGTGTATATAGAGCGACGCCATATTGCCGGAAATTCAATTTTTGACGGATTTTCCATAGATAGAAAAAGCTTGTTCTTTCTTTTAACACGCTTCGTCTCATCACGGGTAACACCTCCATCAGCAGTCGAGCAAATAGTAGTTCTTCAGATTCGGAAGAAGAAGAAGTCCTGGGAAATCGTGTGAATCAGTTGTATCATAGCGACGACGACGACGACGTTGTATCATCTTTCTTATACATATTCATGCGAACTCTCACCATTCACAGGAATCTTGTCGTTCTTATCTTAGGACACCCACTATCTGTAGATGTAGAGTCTGTACTATAGCGTTGGATTCAGATGTAAGTATGAAAGTTGTAGGTCTTAGCATAACATTGTCTTCTTCCGTGCTTGTCACATGATTGCTTTTTGCCCCGTTTCGACTTACCGAGTCTCCGAGTTCGTAGGTAATATGCAATGCCAATAGCTTTGTTTGGATTGACTTTTACTTTTGTGGGAGCACGCGCTTCAATTTTTCTTTGTCAATCCGAAAAAGCTAGGACTCTCGATGACCAAATGTTTGACCTTTAGATTAGTGTACGATTCATTAATTATATTATAAAGTTTGAATAATATTTTAAATTTTGATGCCCAAACATTCTATTAGATGTCTACTCTTTAAATTAAGGAAAATACTGCGGCGAGTTATGAGGTGAAAGACAAAGCGAATCGGCCTATAAATAAAAATAAAAATGGGAGGGTTAAAATAACGTAACTTAAGATTTAAAGTTGCACGGTAATAAAAAAAGTCGAACACGTTGGCCAATTACTATAGAAACCTCATTCATCTTGAAACGAGTAGAATATCCTCTTGAAAAATTTACCTTACACGATAATTTCCAAAAATAGACAGAGAGAAATAAAAAAAAAGAAACAATAAGTGCATCGAAAGTTTTAAAAATTATCACGAAAGTGTAATTTGATATGCTTCTCAGTTTCAGGTGTGGAACTGTTCACCTAAATTACCCGGATTGGACCGAACCAATACACGTGAGTGTGTATATATATATCGACTTAGTTGGGACTCTTTCGGAGAGGGGCGCAGCTTTTTTAAAGGGGGGGTCTTTCATAGAAAAAGAAAAGGGGGAACACACAAATAGTCAAAAAGAAAAAGTGGACATATAGATTCAACACCATAAGTGATGAAAAAGGAAGGGAAAAAAAAATACTAATCATTAAAGTTGAATGGGAAAATTATTAAAATAGTCCTAAATCTATTACAATTGTACCAATTCAGTCTTAAATTTTTTTTTGTATCAATTCAGTCCTAAACCTTTTGCATTTGTGCTAATTTAGTCTATCTAGCTAATTTTGGCCGGACGGTGCTGACACGGCTAATGTTGACGTGTCGATTTTTTAAATATATTTTTATATTTTTGAATATTTTTATTTTTTTCCCTTTCTTTTTTTTTTCTCCCTTCATCAGCGACTAGCCAGAGGCAGGGGCAGACGAGGTCGACCCTACCCAGTGACGACGAGGTCGAGCATTGGCTGGCCTTGCCAATTGCCGGAGAGGACACACCCTCGTTAGATTTGGTGAGGTCAACCTCGCCCAACAACGGCGAGGTCGAGCCTCGCTAGGGGAGGCTGAGGTCGACCTCGCCAGTTGCCGGCAAGACTCGACGAGAGCAATGCCAGTAGACTTGTCTAGATTCATTTTTTACTTTTTCCTTGATTCAAATCTTGCGACACAAGTATTTTAATTTTTTCTTTCTTTTAAACCCAAAATAGCTGAAATTTAAATAATATATTTACGTGGACATACAGATTCAACACCATAAGTGATGAAAGAGGAAGGAAAATAAAATAATAAAATGTAAAATCATCAAAGTTGAACACGATATAAACAAGGATATCCTATCCAATACGTTCCCTTATACGACAATTCCAAAAAAGAAACAAAGAAGAATAAACAAAGCCATAATTCTCTAATAGGCCTAATTCCCTAAAATATTCCGAACTTTAGGTTCAATTCCAAATTTACCTTGAACTTTTTTTTGCCTTAAAATAAATCCCCGACTTTCATTCGAGTCCCAAATATATCCTTGTCATCCAAGTCACCATTAGTTATCCAACATGATAGTCCAAGTCGCTATTGCTTATCCAACATGGCATGCCACATCAGATAAAATAAATGAAAATAAAAAGAGAACAGAGATAAAGAGATAAAGAGAAAGAAAAGAAAAAGCAAAAAAAAAAAAAAAAAAACCTGAGAGAGAGAGGCGGCCATGGCCGCTCAAGTTCTAAGCTCCTGCCGACCATGGTCGCTCGTTCTTCCAGCTCGCAACGGCTAGCTTTGAGCTTACGGCAGCCATGACCGTTGGAGTATCGAGCTACGAAGCTCACGGCGACCATGGCCGCTGGAGTTCCGAGCCACGAAGCTCGCGGAGGCCATGGTCGCTCGAACTTCGGGTGCGACTGTCATGGCCGCTCAGCATGATGTCTGAGCGGAGAACACGAGCAAACAGAGCTTTGTTTTCGTTTACTATATGGAGAAACGAGCTCTGTTTTTGTTGTGATTTGAGTTGGTGTATTTCGGAATTTGATTTGGAAAATGCTCAGGAGTGCATCCCCACATTTGGAGTTCGAATCCGATCCATGTTAGCCAGCATCTTTCAAGAATGTGAATTGGGTTTTGGGATTAACTTGCAATAGAGCAAAATGATGGCATCGCTCTTGCTTGCTTATCTGCTTCCTATCTTAACCCTCAAGAGAATTGCCCGCGACTGTTCTCACCTTCAGTGGCTTCGCTCGTACAAATTTGGGCTTGACGGTGAGGTATCACCTTTGAGGTCTACTTGTAATTCTAAGCTAGCGTCTTCCCATTCTCAGGCGGCTTGCTCGGTGCGTCAATCAGGCTTGTGATCTTTTAGGTGAGTGGTGCCACCGTGCCATATGGCCATGGCCGCCGTCGCCCCTCTCTCTCCCCCTCGCTCGTCCCCATCTCTGTCTGCTAGCGTGCCCTGCTCTATCATCATGTGCTCGCGGCCACCGTGGCCATGGCCATGGCCAGTCGAGTTTCGTGCTCGTTGCAACCGGGAGCTTGAGCGGCCATGGCCGCCTCTCTCTCTCAAGTTTTCTTTTTTCTTTTTTCCTTTTTCGCTTTTTCTTCTGTTCCTCTTTCTTTCTCTCAATTTTTCTTTTCCTTCTCGTGTGTGTTTTCTAACGTGGCTGTACACGTGGATGCCACCTTAGAGAACTAATGATGACTTGGACAATGTCGATAGATTTAGGACTCAAATGAAAGTTGAGGATTTATTTTGAGATAAGAAAAAATTTCGGGTAGATTTGAAACTGAACTCAAAATTTGGGGTTGTTTCGGGGAATTTGGCCTTCTCTAGTACTAGCAACTCTTTTACCCTAGTAGTAGTGTGCTGTCTCTCTCTCTCTTCAGTACCGCCTTGGACAATCCGAACACGACACCTCTTCAACCCAAGACGTCCCATCCTGTCTCCATTCAAAGTTCGCCCGGATGTCATTGGATACAGAAAAAGCTTCCTTGCGGTGTTGGTTTCAAACGGAACATCTGAGGGCAAAATCACGGCGGGGCGTTAGGCAAATAAAGAGCGGGACGAAGAAGAAGAAGAAGTAGAGGAAATAACTGGACAAACTTGAGACGTACAACTCGTATCATCAAAAAGCAATACACCAGACGCGTCGAGCAACAATGTGAGACAATGTGAAAATCATGACAGAAGTAACTCCAAGAGTACCAAAAAGGGAGCCAAAAGGTGGTATCTGCATGTTACATTTATCAGATTCAGGAATCATCATCACCGGAGTAAGTTTACAAGGAGGGCATCTGGCAAACTTCTGAGGACAGGTAACGTAAATTTGGTGGGAGGGGGAGAGATAGACCGATTGATCGATTGAGGACGACGAGTCCGATTTGATAGAGAAGGAATAATAACTTCAGAAAAGGTAAATTTCTTTAAACATCACCCCAAAAGTTAGCTTTTTTCTAAAACTTCATCAGAGCAACAACAATTTGCTATGAATCTTTCAATTCTGCTAACAGGCGATGTTCAATAAACTAAACTCGATACTCAAAAAAAGAATTAAATAAATACAGAGAGAGAGAGAGAGAGAGAGAGAGAGAGAGAGAGAGAGAGAGAGAGAGAGAGAGAGAGAGGGACCTGAGAGAAATCGAGGGCGTCCTGCTTGCCGTCTAGCTGTACGTTGCCGGTGACGAGGACGAAGACCGCGCCGCCGGAGGGCAGGCAGTCGATGGTGCCGATGTGGTGCTGGCACTGCTGGAAGGGAAGGGAGGTGAGTTTGGTGAGGATAGCCTCCTTGCCCTTGATCTCCTGGCCGTCGAAGGTCAGCACCGACTCTTCCTGGTACAGGTTCGCCAAGTCCGCCCGGTTCGCGTCGAACGTCCTGTAGTAGTTCTCCACGAACGGCTTGGCCACCGCTTCTACTTATCCATGGTTTCTCGATCGATCGTCGTCTTCTCTCCTTCTGGTTATGTGCTTCAGAACCGCGCGATGCAGACGGGTACCACAAAGAAAGTCCTAGGGCAAAAGAAATATCTATAGTGTTTGATGTTTATTTTATTTTATTTTTTATTTGTAATTATAGTCCTCGTCTAGGTGTTAAAAAAAAAAGAAAAACCTAACCGGACTAGTGTTTGATCTTGAGAGTGTTCGACTACTCTGCCTTCGACTTCTCCGAAAACACACCATGACGCCGCCGCCTCCGGCGTTGGCCGTGCTTCTCTGGCTCACACGTACCCCTCTTTTCCGTTGTCATCTTATACGTTCATTTTTTTTGTCTTTGCAACCTGCGGAAGTACTTCCCTCCAAGTCTCTTCAGAATAGTTTGATTACGTGTTTTGATACAAATGAGGCAGCTTCTGCTAAATCTGTAGATAATGCAAAACCAAAATAGGTATATTTTGGCCGAGATACAATTGCCGATGCTGCTGCTGCTGCTGCTGCTGGGACTGCTCCTGCAGTCGCTGTTCCATATGCTCCAAAACGAAGGCTAGGTATGGGATGTGGGGGTGTGGGTCAATGGCGAACAACAATCCAGCCGAGCTTCAGTGACCTCAAACATATCTTAACCACTGTAGCCCAGCCTCCGCCAGTAACTTAAGTAGTGCGAGTAAAATTATGCCCAAATCTCGATTTCCTTTCCTGTTCCTATCTTTGATCATGTTCTCTGTGTGTATACTCATTACGTGCCTAAAGCAGGTGAACTTGACGCATTCGTGAAGTTGTATTTTTCAACACTCACGAGCCCATGTTACCACCCAGGTTTTTTCCTCTATTCTTTTTATGTTTTTCTGAATGAATCGAGGATTTTGTTCTCAATGTTCATAGTTACTGGATTCTCAAAACGGAGCATGGTACCCATTCAGAACCGAGTATGTACCTAGGAACCTTTTGTCGCATTTCTTGGATCCGGTTTTTATTCTTGACGTTCATAACGACGTGACTCTCAGAATAGAGCATGTTGGGCCTTTCTCATAACGGAGTATATTCAATGAGTGTAAATTTAAAAAAAATCACTACGTTGGAAAGAATATGAACCTTCTCCTTAAATTACTAGGTCGGAAAATCCTGTCACATTTATATGCCTTTTTCTTTCTTTGGTCAAGAGAAACTTATATTGAGAACAATGTATTACTTGAAATTTGTACTGGCTTTTTCCTCAGAAGAAAAGATAAGACCTGCAACCAGCTTTACTCGGTTTCTGTCCGGTAGGCATGGGGGCTTACCTGGTACTTTTGTGCGTCTGGGTGGGTTTTATTTTGTGAATGAGTGTTGTTAGAGTGGATTGGGAAAGGTTTGCAGGTGTTTAGGAGGCATCCCCCAGTACTCTGATGTTACATCTTGTCCAAATGAAGAATTTTCACTAGCTTAATTAGCCATGGATCAATCGATGGGTTACACTCCTGCAGTGCGTAGTGCATACATAGTTTAGACTCCTGCAATGCATAGACTCATTAGCTATGTCTTTGCACTAGAAGCTTGGCATCATACCGTCGATTCCACTTCCTTTTGAGCTTAAACTCGTAGTTCTCGATGTGTTTATGCTGAGTACATTGGTTAGTAACATTGAGAATTGCTTGATATTCACTATACACTCGTACCATGATAGCTTTTGGAAAAACTTCACGGTGGTCAATATCAAATGGGGAGACGGATATAAACATAGGTTCCGACTTGCATAAGCTCTGATTGTTGTTGCTCTTGTATGTGTCGCGCACAGTTTGTTGGGGTACATTCTGCTTGGTGACATGCCTTGGCTGATTGTTATTTCTTGTGTCCTGATGTTGATAATCCCATCTGCATTGGAATCCGAGCATTAATTAGAGAGTGTCGACAATTTCCCGTTGTCCTATTGTTGTGGTTTGCTCTTTGAGAAGTGGATTTTGATGTGTGTCCTGCCGATGTTGGCTCGGACATGAACCTCATATCGTACTATTATCACCTTGAACACTTTTTACAGCACAAAGCATAATATATGATGATGATGAAGACAATGGTACTACTCGGTTAAGATCTTGGTGCCATTCAATGAAATTGGAGAAATAGATAATTTTTCTTTTTCATTTGGCCAAAGGGAAACAAGGGAATTGATTAGAATTTGAGAAAGTCTAACGCTATCCACATTCACTAGTATTTTGATACACAAATTGCGATTTTGGTCTAATGCACAACTCGATCCTCATATCCCAACCTCACTGATATATCGAGCCCCATCTTGACCTGTGCTCCAAGTCACAAATGAAAACTACTAAGCCCGTGTAGTCCTTGACATGAAGGAAGCATGCAACATGTGAGAGAGGGAAGTAACCGGTCACAAATTCATTAATGAAAGATTTCCCCATTCGAGAACAAAGCCAACTCCCATTAGAAAAGTGAGATGCACGGCCTTTTATATGTTCGGGCATATATGAATGAAACAGAAAATTGAGACAGTAATTTTGGTTTAATATAAGTATAGATCGATAAAGGTTGGCATTGATGACTACTATAATTTTGGTTTGATATAAGTACATATAGATATTAAAAAAGAGCCATCCATTTCGGAAAACTGACGCAATTGAACCTTCTTTTGGATGAGAAACCTGAGAGTAGATATAGAATATGCTCACTAGAAGTTTTAAAATTTATCGTGAAAGTACAATTGAGTCCTTAAATTTTTAAAAAGTCTAATCGAGTCTTAAAATTTGTCAAATTAGTTTAATCAAGTCCTACAGCTAACACTGTCAATTTGTTTAACGGAAAATGATGACATGGCATTTTAATATGAATTTCTCTCTCCTACGTGGCATTTTTAATTATTATTTTATTATTCAATTCTTATTTAAATTAAATTTAAAAAAAAACTGAAAAGAAAAAAAAAGAGAAGGAGCTTTGCAGTAGCGCACCGCCACCCATCGTCGAAGGGGTTGGCGAGGGTGGCCGATCCTCACCGGCCCCGGGCAAGCACTGACGACTCTCGTCGGCCCCAGGCAAAGGTCGGGCATCGCCCAAATTTGGATGCCCTCAACCCACATCTGGGCAAGCCTCGTTGGCCCAGGTGAGGGCCGGCGATGCCTCGCCTGGGGCTGGAGAGGGCCAGCCAATCTCACCTAGGGCAAGCGATGGGTGGCGGTGCCCCATAGCAAAGCTCATTCTCTCTTTTTTCTTTTCAGTTTGGTTTTTTTTTCTTTCTAATTTTTAGTTTTTTTAATTTAATTTAAATAAGATTTGAATAAGGAAATAATAAAAAAATACCACATAGGAGATAGAAATTCATTTAAAAATGCCACGCTAGCATTTTTCGTCAGATAAATTGACGGTGTTAACTTTAAGGCTTGATTGAACCAATTTGATAAGTTTCAGGACTTAATTGTACTTTTTGAAAGTTTTAGAACTCAGTTGTAATTTCGCGACAAGTTTTAGGATTTTTAGTAAACACATCCCTTCATTATACGAATAGAATATCCGGTCGAAAAATTTCCTTATACAATAATTCAAAAAAAAAAAGCAGAGAAAAAAGAATATATATATATATATATAAAAACCCATAATTCGCTAAATATGCCGATATAGCCAACCCTTTTGCCCTAGCATTCTCTCTCTGTAATCTCTCTCCTCTGTACCCTCTTGTTCGTCGCGTGGGTCTGAAGCACAGGCTCGAAGGGACGAGAAGGACAGAGAGAGGGACGACGGCGGCGGCGGCGGCGGCGGCGATCTGAGGAAGAGAATGGATCCAGACGCGGTGGCGAAGGCGTTCGTGGAGCACTACTACTCGACGTTCGACGCGAACCGGGCGGGCCTGGCCAACCTGTACCAGGAAGGGTCGATGCTCACCTTCGAGGGCCAGAAGATCCAGGGCTGCCCGAGCATCGTCGCCAAGCTCACCTCCCTCCCCTTCCAGCAGTGCCAGCACAGCATCACCACCGTCGACTGCCAGCCCTCCGGCCCCGCCGGCGGCATGCTCGTCTTCGTCAGCGGCCACCTCCAGCTCGTCGGCGAGCAGCACGCCCTCAAGTTCAGCCAGGTCTCTCTTTCCGTGTCTCCCCCTCCTCCCTTCTCCCTCCGTCGGTTGATTTCGCGTGGATCTGATTCGATGCGTGTCGAAAGAACTGCTGTTATTGTCAGCGTTAGGCTCGTCGGTTTGTGGAAGCTAGCGTTTTGTTTCCTGTCTTCTTGGCTAGATTTACGGCGTGATCGGCGCATGTCGTGGTGATTCGACCGCTGAATTGAATCCTCTCTTCTCTTGCTCTGATTTGCTGGTATCATGTTGGCTTTGACTATTTTGCATCAACGAATTTCTCGCCTTTAATTTGTTGCGCTTTGCAGTGTGTCTGGGTTAAATGACATTGGATGCGATTCTCTGGTAGTAATTAGCATGGATTTGTTTCTTTGCTTGCTGTCCCATCTCTGTTTGATTGTGGACGAGCCAGTGATCTTGCATCTTGTAATTTCTTCTGTTTATTCATAGAGATGCATTTGTATTTTATTAAATTGTTTTTGAGTGTCAAAGGGTGGTTTGGATGATGATCATTAATTGATTGAATATCACCTAATATGATCCGTTCATTCATTGTTAACGGATTGCATATTTATAAGATTTATAGGGAACAGAATTGTTGCTTTGATGAGCTTTCAGAAAAAGGCTATCAATGCTATTTCTTTAGGGGCATCGAGATCTGGCCGTTCTAGTATGTTGCCACTTCTGTTAATATGCACATATTTTGGTCTTTCCTCTGGCATGCCAATTGACTCCTCTTGTTTATGCGGTTCAGTTACTGGGATGAAAAGTCGTAACTGATATGATATGATAAGATCTTTTATTTCCAATCTCTTGTTTATGAAGTGGCTTTATGTAGGACTGCATATGGCTCTACCAGATCCCACCCTTTGTTTCATTTATGGGCTTGTTTTGACTTATGCTACTTAGGAAAGTGAGAGTAAAGAATAACAAATATTAGAGGCTTAAGAAGCTTGGCACCGGTTGGCAACTAGTGATAGCATATTGGTGGAAAACACCAGCAGGTTGCTCATTGCCTCCGGAACTTTAAAGAACTGCAGAATTTCGGCATGCATATCTTTTCTTGGTTGGACGAGATTGGAAAAATCAGATTAACTTGTTGCTGCTTCCTAGTTTGGGAATTAGACATGGTCCAATCTCTAGTGTACATGACTGGACAATGAGACTATGTTCGAAAGAAAGTTGGGAGGGAAAGAGGGACGATGAGAGCGCATCAGCAAGATGGAGGGCTCACAATGTCAACGGCATCCTTTGATGAGAGCATCTCCAGTGTAGCCCACAACATTGAATGAGTTGATATTTATCGTAGTATTTCCATTACCATCTGATTTTGGTGAAAAGACATTGCATGGATCCACAACTCAAATAAGAGACTTAAAAGGATTATCTTGTCAATTAGGATTTGAGTATTGTCAAAATTTTATTAAATTTGCTTCTACTTTGGGTTGATGCCTTAAGAAATTTACCTTTTAAGTTATCATTTCTTGTTAATTCTTTGCAAGTTCTTTATCAAATCGGACTTGTTTCTCTCTCTCTCTCTCTCTCTCTCTCTCTCTCTCCAAATTTCTCGTGTTATTTTATTGGAGAAATTCTATGCTCACTATGTTACCAGTCCCTTGGAAGTTGCCAATTGTCCTCGCTGTAGACTTGCAACAAAGCTGGCCTTTACAGTTGTACATTCTAGCATAAAAGGGGCATTGCATTAATGTGCTTTTGGCAATCTGCCCTTTTTTTGGTGGGGAGGGGCATTGGGCAGTAAGGCAATCTACTTTGTCTCTTGGTTGTGTGGAAAGTTGTGATAAATTGTTTCCCGACACAAATGTGTGGCTGGCCACTGAGGAATTCTTCTTCATATTCTTTTCAAGTGCTAAAATTTCTTTTGCTGTCTAACATATGTGAAGCATGAACGGTTGGTGCTGTCACCATCTTTTCTGTTGCTGTCAGTTTTGATTGTCTTTCTGTGTTAACCATAGTTTATGGCATTGCCAAGGCAAAGTACTTAAAAGAGCTTGCAACGTTGACTGCATTTTTCCAAAAAGGATTCTTTTAAATATCATGCTACCCATATTGATATATTGGGAATCTTTCCGGATTTGCTTCATGTCCATCTATAGTTTCTATTATCTGGGGAGTAATTTGTGTTGTATCTGCTTAACTTTGTTGCATCCTTCTGTCATTTGGTTTTCCATTTTTACCTAAAATTAGACCTCATAGTTGCTCTTAAAGAAGCCCTCAGCAAGGAGATTCATATGTCTACCATGCAGCGACTATGTGGGGAATTAGTTTGTGAAGAGATTGGATACTTTTCTATATCCCAAAGGTTTGGTCTGTCTGGCAGGATGTTTTCGATGCAGGGTTCATGATATTGTAAGATATATTATATTCCCTGTTAGAAAGTATTGAATGAGAGTAGGATTGACCTTTTAGCTCCATTTTTTTGGTACTCTAGGAGGTACTAAGTCACATTTTTCACATTAATGCTTGATACATTACCAATGCAGTTGGTGTATTGCATTGTGATTATACAAGTCGTGTACTCATATTTTGTATAGTTATTTGTTCTGCTTCTTTGCCCCGTTTTTATTTGCCTAACACTCTGCCGTGATGTTATCTGCTCTCAGATGTTCCATTTAATGCCAACACCACAAGGAAGCTTTTATGTGTTGAATGACATTTTTCGGTTGAACTATGCATGAAGACCGGATTGACATCTTGGATCCAACAACTGTGAGGCCACCTTGCCTTGATCTTGAATGTCAAATTCCTAGGCTTTACAGGCTGGGATTTTCAGTTGGTGTTTTTTGATGTTCTATTGCTGTACTGTTCGAAGATGTCTTTGTTGAGATTGGTGGGATCTGAAAATAGATTTCTATACTGTTCGTTAAGATGGAACTGAGGAGGTCTTAATTGGAATTCATGTTCGAATTGAGTCGCCTATGTCAGATTGCTACTTCTTGTGATCTTTGTGCTTGATTTGAAAAGAGAAAAAAAAAGAACTGCATTATAGCCGCTACAGACAACAGTGTCTTTTCCTATACTATGTTTGCGGGCATAATAGGTTTGCAAGAATGTTGACTTACAGTTCTCTAATTGCATTTTTGCTTGTCTTCTTGTGTTCCTTGCTCATCGGTGTCAATAGACCTGTTTAGCCCCTAAAGATCTTTCTTAAAATTGGAGGAAACACATGCTTGCACGGGCTTACATTTATCCTCACTATTTGGATTCGCTTGAAATGGATTGCAGGACATCATTTGTTTTACAAGTTAGAGGTGAAATCGGATGAGGGAACTAAGCTTTCATTTTGATGGAATAATAAATATTTATGAGAACCTCGTGTACTATAACTACCGTTGATGCGTCTCTGTTTGCAATTTGCTTATGAATCGCCAAGTTATCGGATCTCCTTGGACAATGATCTCTTAGTCAATTTGAGAAGCCCTTGGTCGGTTCTGTTCATTTCTGGTACCACAGGACAGGGAACATCTAGTGATTTCATTGATCATGGGCTAAATGATCTGCACATGGTCCCTGCTTGATTGGTTGATAAAAAACTCACAGCACGGTTGATAGTCTTAGTCTTAGTCTATGCAAGCTGCTCCTCGTTTAGGGTGGACACTACATGTTCAGCATTTCTGAAAGATGGACTAATATACCCGGGATCAGATTTATAGGGTGGGTTGTTGCAACCGTAGCAAGTGGATTAACAGAGATTAATCTTTATTTGGGGAAATTGTCAGATCAATCATAAACTTATTGTACACATGTCAATTTAGTCATTAACTTTTCAATTTTTCCAATTTAATCTTTAAGCCTTTATGCGAAATTCCAATGTAGTCCTGGTCAATTTTCGTCAGAAAATGCTGACTTGGTGGTATGCCATAGGATAACTGACGTTGACTGGACCGTTACGTTAGCTATTTTTGGTGAAATTTTACTGGAAAGATTATTTTGAAATTTCGAATAAAAATTTAAAATTAAATCGATAAAATTGAAAAGTTTATAACTGAATTGACATCCGTATAATAGGGTTAAAACTGATTGGATAATTTTTCCTTCTTTATTAAGGAGGTAAAAGACCCGGTTTCCCTTTTTCTGTTCCATGGCCACTCAAAATCTCAGTTGAGAAGAGAAATCGAAGACCTCAAAATCCAAGAGGACTGAGTGCAACAAATTGAGGTACTTTAACACGCAATTAGATCTCAAGTTACCGAGTAAGAGTTTTGAGTTGATAGTTCAACCACGAGCTTGTTTATTACCGGTGTCTGGGGAAATTTAAACATGTTTCTTACATCTAACCACAAATCATTTCATCGAGACCCCTAGATCATCCCAACGGGAAAATACGGAGCAGATGTTCTTTCAGTTCCTCGACCACACACAGATCCGGCGAGACAGAAAATACATTTGATGTTTAGTACTGCCAACCAACAAAAAGGAACACATTTTCATGACAATTTATCAGTCAAAACATGTTCGCTAAGGAGTTCTTACACGTTTTCAGTCTTCTAAGAGACACTCCAAATATGACTGTACAATCAACCGGTATCCTCTCTAACATAAGCTCAATCAGAATGCTATACTGGACAAATATACACAATGCAGCATGAGTTACACGTCTTAGAACCTTCATGGGAATTGGTACATGAAGTCATCGTCGTCCATATTGCTAAATTCCACAGAAGGTGATGGTGCTGCCTCACTAGATGTGCTGTCGAGTTCAGCCTGCAATAATAGTTCAAACATGGAGAATCATTTCGCACGAGATTTTGGTGCGAGGAATACCCGTGGTTTGCATGCGCACGCACAGACATGCACTTGTGCACGTGCACCACACACACTCACACTTAATAGAGCATAAGACAGGCAACTCACAATTATTAAGGGAAGGAATAACCATTATTCCCTCAATATTAAATTAACTGCATTTCCATCACCTAACTACCAATGAAAATAGCAGCAGCAAAGCATCTCTGTCATCGTGTTTCATATGTACAATTTGTCTCATCTACCCAATGCAAGAGGGACAAAGAGAGGAATAAAATTTTCTCAGTTTTATGTAGAGCTAACACCAACTGGGTTCCCTTACCAAAAAAAAAAAACACCAACTGGGTCCTTGCAAAATAATAATAGATTGATAGGTGATAGTACCCCCCCATAGGCTTGTCCAAGTCTAAGCAGTAATGCTCTGTGAGAGAAAGAAACGGGAAAAAGTTAGTGCAGATTCATTCTACTACTAATATGGTAGACCCTGAAAGCACCCCCAGAGGCTTTTTCGTGTCTAAGCAGTCATGCTCCTTGGAAGAATGAAAAGCTAAACTTTTGTGCAGATTCACTCTACTATTAATATGGTAGACACTGTATAATTATGAGGAAATCATGTGCTTTTTTGTGAGCTCCAGGGTAAACCTATAGGATTTCGAATAGGGGGATTGCCACGGTCGAGTGAATTAAACCGTGTGAGCATTTGTTGACTGAAAAGGGATAACTTCTGTAGTGGCTGGAGAGGGAGTGCATGGGCCATGCATTGCATTTTACCTCTGCTAAGAACGAGCAAGCAGATGTTTGGCGGTGATACAACATAATGCCTGTGACACACAACACCTACTGACTATTGCGGAATTCGTAATAAAGAAGAGTAGGCTTTCCTCGCAGGTGTCCACCTATAGAGAAGCAAGCAATCCATTTAGATAAAGAAAATGCTCTAAAGAGATTTTTTGAATCCAGCGGCTGGGTAAACGAATCCATTCTTTCAATTCCTTCATCCTAAAATTTGACTTCAATTTGAAAATTGGAGTTCTTTTCCATTTCTTGACAGTCCAACCATAGAATTATCTTACGTTCAAAAAAAAAAAACCACAGAATTATCTCAGATGTTCCACATGGGATCCTAAGAAGATATTGTGAAGTAGAGAAATTACAGCAGCAGCATGCTAGGAGTATAAGTAAACTAATGTATATACATGTATATATTATATATATTTTAATGACTAGCAAATTTGAATAGACTATTTACTCCTGGTCATAACTATCAGGAAGATAGCGACACTAAGGACGTGATTAGATTAAGGATTTACAACTGACTAACCTTAGCTTGACGGTATCTTTCAAGCATGCGACGATACTGCTGACGTGCATTTGGAGAATCAACCATGGATAAAACTCGTGAAACTGCCTCATCAACAGCTGCATCCACCTTTTGCTTACGAAAAACTTTTAGAATATCTTCATCATCACTATCTTCAATAGATTCTGTCTCCTTCTGAAAACTTCGTAAACCAACCCCCTTCCTCCGCCATCGCAGTACAACCTTGTCTAAAATTCCAACAGCCCAACATAGTACCTTGTAATGTTTCCTTACCTGATAACCTCTCACATGAGCCTGCAAGAACAAGAGAACATGATCACAAAGTTCCTCTACAGCGGGACTACCTTGAAGCATGTAAATAAGTATTTCAGATGCAAAATGCATAGGCTCAATCCCCACATCAACACTTGCTGTAGAAGTTCCAAAGAGGATACCTGTATTTTGACAACTTTCTGGCGAAATGTTAGGAAGTCTTTCCGACCTTTCCAGCCTCGATATTTCTTCTGAATGGATAATGCAGCTGAATTGTGGTCACGAGCATTGCGTGAGGAAAGCTTCAGCATACCTGTGAATCCTTGAATGTCACCTGAACTGATGCCATAATCAGCAACAGCAGCGTCCATTTGCTGTCGCTTCCTGAACGAATGTGCACGGAATGCAGATTGTATACGTGCAGCAGCCTGAGCAGCATTACGAACCGCAGCCAAGGTATCCTGTAGTGAAAGTTGATCCTCATTGGAAGTTAGATTTTGATTTGTGATGCTATTTATAGTTCTCTCTGCTTCAAGCTCAGCAGAGCCTCTCGAAAGCTCACTCTCCTCGAGTGTAAGAGATGAAAGATGGCTGGTCAGGGCCAACTCTGACAGATAGCCAGCTAGTCCTTTATGTCCACTGGAGGAAGCAATACTTGCAGGAGTTTTACCGGCAGGATCTTTACAGTTGGGGTCTGTGACTGCTCCAGCTGATGCCCCTGAAGCTACCAGTGCAGCAACCATTTTTTCCCTAATTCAAAAGTTGTAGACAGTCAAAACGTGACTCATTATGGATGCGAGTAAACCCAGGTATTTGATATGAGCATTTTTAACAACAATGACAAGTCACTAGGGCAAAAAAGGGGTAAACTGATGTAGATGGAATGTGACTTGTAAGTTGTAATACTTCGCTGTATATTATGTAAAGCCCATGGGTAGCATTGGGTGTGCTACAAGACATTGATGCAGATCAACAGGAGAAAGGAATTCCTAGCTTATCACCCAATAACATGTGAAGTTTTCTGCAATGCTGGTAAACTGCTTGGAAGGCAAGTAGTAATGAGTATTGGATTTCATGGAGAACTTTCGAAATTTATACGATTCAGGGCCACCAGACTCACCCTTTTATATACCCTAGTTTAGTAATTTGTTATCGTGACACTCTAAATCCTACACTAGATGATAGAGGACTTGTAAAATGATTCATATGTACAGATCAATCCCAAATGGTCACCATTTGAGCACTCCTTCAGGGGCTTAGCACACATGGATCGGGTTGGATCGTTAAAAGATGGTATTAGAGCAGATTCGTACAGTCGAGGATGTGGAACGATCCGAATAACCTGAACCCCACATTGAACAGGATGCGGTTGAGTTGTTACACTCCAGATATTCAATGTTCCTCTTTGCCCCAGACTTTCTTTTTTCCTCATTACTTACTTAGCTGTTTCCCATATCCATCTACTACATAAAGCTTATTACAGTATTATCCAAAAAAGACAGAATCCAAAGAATTAAAAATAACGGTAAATAAAAATTGTCAAATATGAAGCAATGATGTCTCATACGATTTAGTTCACGTGCTTCAGTGGCAGCAGAAAATCTAAACACGAGTAGCATGGCAAATGGATGCAGAAAAACAGATGCTTCCATTTGTAGTGCTTTTACTATGCCAAAGGAAAAAAAAATTCTAGTACTACTTACTGCTGACTACTATATTACTTGGTTAAAGCCAGAATATAAGAACAGGGATGAGTGAGTGGATCATGCTCTATTAAAAATAAAGAAAGCTAAACTGGAATTTAACCAAAAACTGACATGATAAAAGTGTGGTAGTGGAATGTTTCTTCAAAATCCCCATCATATCTAAGTACTAAGAAGCAGGAAGGCACTGTGCACTCTTTTTGAAAATGAACCTCAAAAAAAATTAAACAGTCGCTTTAGCAGACTTTAAAATATTTGAATTTCCATTTCCTAGGGGCATGTTATTGCTTGTGAGCTACTCAGGCGACTTCATGCTTAAAACAAGGAAAGTAATTTTCTTTGATAACCTAGATCTGACCAATGAAAAAAGAAAAGAAACTCGCATGATAAAGAAGTCCCTCTTTTTTTTTTTCTTTTAGAACTGATAGTTCAGTAAAACACTACAAGTGTTCGATAATGATGTTACCGAGTGCCTTCCTTGAGTCTAAAACTACTCTTCTCTTTAAACTAAATTTTCCAAATAAGCATCATTGTGGTTCACAGAAGAAATAAATTGAAAAAGATGCTCCTGCATACCTTCCGAAACGAGCAGCCCAATGGAGAGCAGTGCATCCATTAATGTCACGGAAATTTACATTGACTCCACAGCCAAGAATTGAGTTCAGAGCCCATTCAAAACCCAAGCCTGCAATCATGTGAATAATACCTTGCTCTTTCTTGGACAAGGAACAGCCTCCCTGGTCATGTTCTTGCCTGGATCTAAATGCAACCCACTGTTGCAATTTATCCTTTAAGAGCTCCTGAAGAAGCCAATTAGTTGTTTCGGATGAATTTTCATGGCCAACCAGAAGCCCCTCTATGATGTGACTCCAAGAATCATCCTCAGCTTTCAAATTTCTCAGAACATGAATTCCTGAAGTAACACCATCTTCTTTCTGCATCGCTGAATCACATAAAAGCATTTGCACAAATCTAACGAGTAGCAACAGCTCGTCTGTGTGCCTAGCAACTTCTGTCTGTTCCAAGTTACAGTGAGCGCAAAAATTCGATTTTACTCTATACTCAAATTCTCTGACCTCGGAGCAGGACTGCCGGTTGCTAGAAATAATGCAAAGGGTGACCTTCCCAGGTAAGTGAGGAGGAGCTTCACAGCGGATGACACCTTGTTGAATGATCTTTACAGGAACTTCAATATCACCAAACATACAACTCCATCCAGATTCCGACGGATCACACAGAAAAGATCCAACAATGACGATCTGCATGGAAAAACTAATAAATTCTCAAATTTGAATTGTCATATTTCATGTGATTGAAATGTAAATCGATATTCTGCACAAATACATGCTCTTTTGTAAACTGCCTGCATCACAAGATGTGATTCGATCTCATCTAATCACTCTGGAAACAAAAATTAACTCTCAATATGAGATTTTATTGATGAATAATCAATTATTGATATTCATTTCAAGACAGAAATAATCTGGTGATAAAATAAAAGAAAAGGGACCCCCCCCAAAAAAAAAAAATTTGCTAGTCTCATTCCATTCCAACCCATTCTAACTAAACAAATTACACAATTAAAAAAAAAAAAAAGCCGATCAAATAGGTTAAGGTAAAACTCCAAAACACTGTAAGTTTTTTGTTTCCATATGAGCACATCTTGAAACTATTACGATCAGATCAATGTTTAACAGGTTTGTTTATAAGGCATCATCAAAGCCACTATTATCAAATAATTCTAGTTCTTCAGCATGTAATGTATTTAATTAATTTGCCATGCAATTATGCAATTTGAGTTCTCCTATCAGCATCAAAGTCGATAAACTCAGAACTTTTCGTTAAATTGGTCAAAATATTCAAATGCACCATATACTGTTGGTTAATTCAACATCTACAATTTGATGAAATGCTTCCTGATTCAGGATTTTGATCTTGGTTTATGAACACACAAGCTAGAGAATGTGCAATTCTTTTAAAGCAAATCATTTGCAATTTATACTGTTGCCAAAAGTTGGCACCACAACGACACAGCATAAACATGGTAATAGGACTACAAAAGAATAAAAGAAGAAACTAATATATTACCAGTTTGCTCCCCTTAAGATATAACATGGCAGGATTTAGAAAAAATCATGATACATGCAGCCATAAACTAGGAATAAATCATTATATATAAATGAATGAAGAATAAAAAATTCACTTACAATTCAATCTGAACAATGTAACAATTCATACCCACCTTTGTAGCTTCAGTGGTGTAACCCCATTCAGGAGATATTTCTTCAATTGTAAATTTCTGAGTTTTTGCTACAGTCAAACATGAATTTCCCACAACTGACATTCCTGGTTGGCCTTGTCCAAACAAGACAGGATAGTATTCTGGATTTGCCCCATGAGTTTCTCCCGTGGAAGGGTAAACAGAGAGTTGGAAATTGTCAAGTTCAGAAAGCAACAATGAGGCTGCTATAGAAAGAGATTTATGACATTTGTTAGACAGGAATATTGACCCAAATTAAAATATACTTAAGGTACGGTTCACTGCCCTAAATAGAAATGGCACGGTTCCAAAAAGTTCATAATATACTATACTGAGTAATAATTATGCAGTATTCTAAAGAATCATACATGGATCCCTGTTCTTAGTAGCATCTGACAGGAGATAGCCTTCTTGTCCTTCTGCTGGTCCCGTCTCTGTGAAAGAGTGTAATTTTTCCTGTAGCACATTGACCAAATAAGCGACAACACCCATTCAGGAAAGACAAGTTTTAATTGAAATTTTATAGCATGAACTGTATTAATTTTTTATTGAAACGTATATGCCCATAACCACATGCTACCACTACACAACTCACACACATGACTTGAGCCTTTTCCTTAACACTGCTACAAAAAGCTGTTCAACTATCCCGAAGGAAAGATCTCATGCCCGCTTATATGAGTCTGGTATCATTTTCAAAAGCACTAAGCTGGTTATGTATAGAAATAGTTGTGTTTTCTAGATGGGTGATAGAAGGATTGGTGAAACGTCAACCCAAGTTTAGCGAATGGAAAAGTGACATTTGCCAGATAGGCAAATCCTCAGTTTCAACATAGAGGCACATCTAGAACACTTCCAGTAAGAAATCCATGAAAACAAGCTAATCCTCAGATATACGAATATTTAACTTTTCACACTCATGTTATGACTCACATTTTCATTTGGTATCTGAGCACTCTGCTCTAGGGATCCATTGGCTGACGAGCTCAAGAATGACTCCATTTCTGTCCACTCAAAAGATTCTACTTTAACCAGATCTGCCTGTTCAAATGCCTGAAGACGATGCTGGCCATTATCATCTGCAGAAAGCAGCTGCATGAGTCCTGCACGCTTTTACACTTACAATCTTCAATTGCATTTGCTATAGACACAACATTTCCTCTTCAGACAAATAATATTGCTGATTAGATGAAGTCTCTTTCTTATACCGAAATTACTAGCCTCTATTAGATTTACTAGAAAAAATTAGCAACAAATGACACCAATAGATAATCTGAATTTTCTAGGAATGCTGTTTAACTAAATGAAACTTATGATAAGTGGCAAGTCAAAATTTTCTCTTTTTCCTCCTCCTTGAGACTTAGACAAAGAAGGAAGAGAAGATCTGCCTCAATTATGATAGACTTGAGAATAAGACTCAACTCGTTGAACATAAGATCTTGCATAAAAGTAGGTACAATCTACTTTGTGATAAAAAAAATTGGGGTAGCTCTGTGTTATTGCAAATGAAAATTCATTTGCCGCATTGTTTATGGTTAATTATGATTCGAGGAGGCTAACTTTGGTTGCTTTGCTTACTTTCGCAGTCATTTAGAAACTTGATGTCACTTTAGTTGCAACATGCAAAATTCTTTATGCAAACAATGAAAACCATGATTGTTTCGGTCTATATACTTGGCTTCTCAAAGCAGCATTATCATCATGCAATACAGAGATAAGAATTTCATGGTGCAGATGAGAGCGAGCACTAATGAGAAGTTTTAAGACAATGAACGGAGTCCAACATACTGAAGAGACATCAGTGGTGACAAATTCAACAATATAAATCCTAATACTCCTAACACCTGCCAACCCCATAGAAAAATGATCCTATCACATATAGTTCCTTAACGAGTCAAGTTTGGGGTATGTTTCTCAGAGTGATGACATGCGACCAAATCTAGTAAATACTGTTCAGTATGAAACCAAAAGGTTAACATAGCAGATGGAGAACCCTACATTAACGTGATAGTTGCCCAATCAAGGTGGGTTTCGTACTTAAATGTATGGGTCCAGACTATAGACTACAGATCATTCTTAACTTTAAAATGTAAAAGTGGCCCCCGCAAAATGCTACAGAATCCCACCTCGTAAGATAAGTAGCACTATGTCAACTATTAGCCAACAGACTGTTGCCACTCTAAGCACAAAAAAAAAAAGATGTGATACCTGTATCCTTATGTGGCATATAGTCGCTCGAAACATCTCGCACGCCATTATTTTCACTAAGAAATTGACAATTTACAGGGTCTGAAACATGCAATAATGCTTCATGTTGATCTTGCTGAGAAATCTCCCTTTCGCAGTCCAGAAATCCTACTGAATTGAAATATTCATCATCAACGAATAGTGGATCAATTTCTTTCATTGTGTCGTCATTCAAACTGAGCTGTTCCTCAATCCTCCTCAAAGCTTTACTCATATTAAGATCAGACGAACTGCAGAGTGCTGCTCCTTCCACCCTGTCCAAGTTATCCATCCCATGGTTGATGACAGCTTTGACAGAAGTAACTTCTGCAGGACTTGGACTGGACTGAGTTTGACAAGAGTCAAGTGAGGCAGAACCTTGATTCTGAATAGAGTAAGGGCTGGGACTCAGACTACGACTAAAAGCAGACGATGACCCTGGAGAAAACAGTGCTTTGGATCCAGAACTATGTTTCCCCTGCAACACAGGCAAAGAAAGATGCTAAATCCAATAATATTGGATAGACCCTACACAGTCGGCCTAGTGGTCATGGGTGGGTGGGATTTGGAGCAGTATATTAGAAGGTCAACCCCAGTAAAGACAAAAAAAATTCATATATTAGATAAATGTTCTTCCCTGAAACTTAAACTGTCAAAAAATAGGCCCATCATGTATATTAAGCATAATTCTCGATGCTCCCACTTAAGGTAAGCCGAACCTAACACGTTAATCATGACATAACCGCATCAAACAGATTAAAGGAGTAGGATCAGAATAACAAGAAAATTTGTCAAAATAACACTGAGAGAGAGTGTGTTATGATACATGCTCTTGAGCTGTGCTATGTCCTATATAGTAAATGCTTTTTCCAAAAACTTAAGTTGTCAAAATTGCGCTCAAAATATACATCAACCACATCTGGTAGATGACATTGGAGCAATAAAACAAGCAAGGACCTAGGACCATTAACAAAAAGTAGATGATAAAATAATGACCAGACAAAGAGTAAGCGGTGCTCACCAATTTGAACTAAAAATTGTCAACTTCAAAAAACATAACTAGTGGGGAAGAAGCTTAGATTATTGTCATGATGCTACTTAACCTTCCAAATAAAGGCTGACTGTAGGGACTGGAGATATGTACACTCGACAACTTGATTAATCATAGAATGATCAAATAAAATATAAGCTGGATCCAGGAGTTATGAACTGACCTCAGTTATGTCTCGATAATGAACGAGAACTATGTGGTCACATGCCCTGCCCACCAAAAAAGTAAAAGCAAGGTGTTAGTGAATTTGTGTCCCACTCTCCATCTTAGAGAAGAGAAATAAGAGGACTAGAGGTGGGTGTGGTACGAACCCTAAAAGATGTCCAACTCTCTACCCTATTTCATGCTGTGATGCTGTGTATGGATGGATTTCAAGAATTCCGATTTTGAGGCTTAAAAAGGTGCCACCAGAAAGCATGAATTAGTCGCCCTTTATAGAGGGTAGGCATATCGGTGATAATATCCTTCTTGCTGAAGAGCTTGTCGAGAACATATCTCCTACATCTTTTATTAAGGCTGATCTTAAGAAGGTGTCTGGATTTGGTGGACTGGACATTTATGTTCAACATTCTTCATGCTTTAGCTTTTCTGAGACTGTTTACTAAGCTTTTCTGAGACTGTTTATGTTAGAATAATTAAATATTAAACCACACCTTCATCTAATAGCTTAAGCTTTTGGAACAGTTGGCCGTGGTCCCACAAAAATTCCACATGGTATCAAAGCTGGAGGTTCTGAGTTCGAATCTTTCCAAGCCCCATTTGCCTCTTCAATTAGATATGTACACGCTTAGTACTAGGCAAAAAGGCCAGACTAAGCGTGAGGGGGAGTGTTAGAATAATTAAATATTAAACCACGTCTTCATCTAACAGTTTAAGCTTTTAGAACAGTTGGTTGTAATTCAAAAAAATCTCACAGTTTACATAGTGGATAAGAAGCTGTGATAATACTCATCAATTCTGTCATTTTGAATGGACGTATTGAAGATATGTTGAAAAGGAGGCTCTTTCGGCTGTCATCCAAGATGAGAGGCAGCTATTTTGAAGGGAAAGAAGGTGCGAGACAACACAATCTGGTAAATTGATGCTATTATTAAGTTTTCTGGTAAATTGACATAAATGAGTGGGAGTGGCCAAGGACACGATCAGTTTTGCTGGGACACATTCTAACTGCTGCTAGCCACCTTAAGGGAGTTTGGCTCATAATACCAAATGGTGCTTTCACCTTGAATATTGCTTGGAATACTCTATGTAGCAGGGCTTCTAAAGTTCCAACGCACAAACTTGTGTTGCTTATTCCCCGCATAACAGAGCACTGTAAGATCACTCGGTTAGCCATTACTAGATAAGTTGGCCACTAAGGTGAAATTGTCAAGGCAGTATTCATCTGCACAGAGTACTTGTGTGCTATATCAATTACATAATTAAACTAGAAGCCATTCATTCTTTGAGTGCTCTTTTTCCAGTTTCAAGTGGCAGCAGTTGCATCCTTTAAATCAAGCGAGGGAGGGAATCATAAAAGTGTAATGACAAGCATAATCACAAGAGAATATGACATGCTACCAATATTTACACTCACGGATCAAGCATCCAGTAGCTGCGCCTCTGAAAATTTGGGTTGTCCTCTCCATGTGCATAATAACAATTTAATTTTTCAACATTTCCCACCTAAACATATAAATGAATTTGATCGTCAGTTCTGGCACATTTAAAAAATAGAAATACCCTGTTAGACACAGAAAAGTTGATAACAGCCATGGAAAATGCAGCAGAAGGAAGTGACAATAACCATGATTATCACATATTATAAGCTCCTTGCAACTTATCAACAGAGATTAGCACACCTTGAGCCGTTCATGAGCCTCCCCAACAGTCCTCTGGTCCTTCTTTTTCCGCCAATTATGCCCGTCACGACGGAAGTTTCGAAGAACTCTCTTATTGAAAAGGAACAAGGATCCACCTGTTAAGAATTGTCATACGCACATTGCCATTCATTATAGACCTAACTAAGGATTTCAAGAGCGCTAGTTATTTAGTGATGCACAAAGGAGGTGAAGTTTACTGCTTGGACGTTGACGTGGCTGTTGGGTAATCTGGCAGTTTTCGTGGTTTTGCAAAATATAAAGGACTTCGGCAGGTTTAAGCCAACGATACTGAGCTTCCTGGTAGAGATCATCCATGCTGTATCCTGAGAATTCAGAAAAAGGAGTATTTATCGAACTTTCACGTAGTGCTTCTCTGCTTGAGGCACAACAAATGAAAAGGCACAAAGACCAGAGGAAGCAGAAACACAGAAAGGACCACATAGAATAATAATGCAAATTGTAGCCTAATGAATTTATTTACCAATAAAGAGCCACTATCTCTATAATCACCAAAGAGCTCTGCTACAGCGATGTCTTAACAAAGAGAAAATACCATCCAGGCAAATGAATTCATGCCAATATATCAGATGCAAGGCATAAAGAATATAGTTTAACGCAGCCATTAGCCCATAAGACTGGTTAAAGTTTTCCCTTTTATACAACAACAACAATGCCAGGACAAAAGTCAACCGTTTTATTTCCTCTAAAGTGAGGTCGACTGCAGGGATCCTTAGGCCTTTGAGCTTATCCAGTCTCGTATCATCCATGAAATCAAATTGCCCAAGAGATCTTTGTTCAAAGTATCCCCTGAATCCTTATTGACTTTTCCCCCCAACCCTACCGCACATTTCCACCATAGCATCACACCTTTCTTCTATGAAATTGACATCCTCCTCGTAACATAAAATGCAAGAAAAAGTTTTTTTTTTTTTTTGGTAAAGAAAATGCAAGAAAAAGTTCGCGCACCGAGAAACCAAGACCACGCATGTGGCGAATTCATCAGTATATACGAGTCCCGCCTTAACTCTTATCACCTAGGAAGTGGAGACCCTTATGTCAGTAACCCACAATGCATGTTGAACTAAAGATAGCTGCGCTGGTTCCCCCTCACGGTTGTTTTTAAAAAAAAAAAAAAAACTAATAGACAGACAGCTCAAACGCAGCGAATGCCTCTCTCCATTCGATCTCTACAGTGACGCTCTCCGACCCATCATTTCCCCTCGTCAAAAAAAAAAAAAACCGACACGCTCGAGTTCAAACGATCAAACCCCCGAACGCTCACCGAAGCATCCCCCTACTCTATCCAAGAGCATCACAAAAATCGAACCATCTCGAGCGCCCAAATTCGAAGCGCGCCCCAACCCATTACCCCGCAAGCGAACGACAACGAAGGATTACCGACGGACGCCGTCATGCTTCCGGTATCAACAAGGACCGAGCTGAATTGCGGAGTCGCCGCCCTCGCTCGCGACCATTCGAATGGGAAGGCAACCCGTCGACAGGCAGGCAGGCAGGCAGGCGCGCGCTTCGATCGAGCGAGCGAGCGGTCCTCCCCGAGCGAAGCTCCCACCACGCGCGCGCGCGCACTCCCCAGTGAACGAGAGAGGTTGCTGGGTAGAAATCGACAGGACCGCGCGGACCGGTTTTCGGAGTTAAAAAAAATCTCGCCTTGAAGGATCAGCAGGGAAGCTGCTTCGGCGGAGCGACCGAGCGCGCGCGCGGTGTTGACCCTGACCGAGGTCGCACGTCGTACGGTGTCGGGCGGGTCTTCGGTCCCTTACCGTCTTTCCGTTTCATACTGAAGCGAGGAAAGCTGGGCGGGCGGGTAAGAAAGTAATGAATAAGAAAGGGAAAGAAAAATCCAGGCGAGGATCGGGTGCGGGCCGGTGCACGGAGAGAGGGTTTGAGAAATCGGTGACGTGGCGCTGCGCCATTGGGCTTGGGCCTCCCTCCAATAGAGGAAGTTCTTTGGTCTAACTCTTGATAGTGGAAAGAGTAGCTACCAAAAAGGGATAAAATCGCAAACACGCAAACACACTTCTTTTTTTTAAAATTTTCATTAGGGACGTACAAAACGGACCGTTCAAATTAAAAACTGCCCAGACCGGACTGAATTGACTGGTTGGGTCCGATTCCTGAAAGTGTCAGTCCGGTTCCCGATTTCTAAAAATAAAACTAGTGTTCGAGCGATCTAGTTCCAAAGGGAACCCCACAGAACCGGACCGGATCGACCACATATACTTTTTTTATTTCTTCAAAAAAAATAGAGTAAAATGTGAACTAAACCATAAGTGAAGTATATTTTTTGGTTCATCTTTTCAATTTGTTGATTATTCATGGTTGCAAAATAATTATTATCTCTTGATGATTGGTTGGTTTAGTTTATTGTTTTCGATTTGTAATTTGTAAATCTGCTTTTTAATTTTTGTCTATCTTAGAAGACATATGAACATATAGTTAGGGTCCTTTTACTAAGATCTTTTTCAAAAAAAGTAACGGGGAACACGAAGAGATGGCATCAAATAGTGGGAAAAAAAAAGTGACCAATTCCATTAGATCGAATCGGAATCGGTCCTCCCGGTAACTGGACAGATAACCGATCACCCTTAGTTTTCATGCTTTCATTAGTGGCTATTGCTTTTTATTTACTCGCCCACGACTCAATAGCTAACAACAGATCTTCTTTTCTACCGAAATAAGGGATCGCGATCCGTTCAGACATTGATCGTTCTTGGCTTGACATGATTTACGTGTTGCCGGTTTCCGAAAAAGTTAGCATCTCCATTAGCTAAACACTTTCTTATCCCGCCTTTTGACTCGTATTTTTTGTCTGTATGCGCGTGCCTTTGGAGAAAATTGCCATTCCAGCTAGTTTGGATTTGATCCTCAACTTCTACCATTTATGTCTTCTTGTCTACCGAAACAAGGGATCACGATCCGTTCGGACATCGATTGGTCCTGGCTTGACATGGCTCATGCGTCGCTGATCCTCGAAAAAAGTTAACATCTCCATTAGCTGAACCCTTTCTTACTCCGCGGCTTTTGACTCGTGTTTTGTCTGTACGAGTGCGCACCATAGAGGATCGTCATTCCAATTTTCCAGCTAGTTTGAATGTGATCAACTTTTTCCGTTGATGTCTTGACCAGAGACGTGTGACGGAAGAAGAGATGAGTCAGTTTTGGGGTGGTGGTCTGGTCTCCACTAATTTAGTGCAAAAGAGAAGAAACCAGGAACAATCCTGACACTTTTGGCTTCGCTATCACCTGTTTTTTGACTTCACTGCATAGCTGTCCCTGCCCATTTGCTTTGACACAACGTTTGTCACGTTGCATAACAAACATCATGAGACTTTGATAATTGAAGGCACGATGTGTGTCCCCTCGGGCCGTTTGTCGTCTTCTCGTTCTCCTCAGCACTCGGCCTTCGAAGAGGATGTCGAACCAGTTGAACGTTTCTGTATGCTTCAAAATCAATCAGAATCATCGCGCTTAACGCGATAAAAAGGGATTGGTGATCAGGGAGAAGCGATTTATCTACAATAGTGACTCTTAGAACTTGAAAGGATCACGATAACATGTTCTCCCCCTTTCGTTTTCAATAAGGACAAGAATTCTTGAGAAGCGCACGTGGTTTGCGGACAGCATTATTTTCGATTGGGAAAAGTTCTTGGTTCGTGAACGATTGTAATTTTAGATAAGGGCTATTTGTTTTGCTTCTGAGTTCCTTAAAAAACTGGAATAAGTACATTGAAAATCCTAAAACTTGTCGCGAAAGTGCAATTGGGGCATAAAACTTTCAAAAAGTTCAATCAAATCTTAAAATTTATCAAATTAATTGTTCCGTTGATTGCACTTTTTGAAAATTTTAGAACTCGATTATACTTTTGTGACAGTTGATTGTACTTTTTGAAAGTTTTAGGATCCAATTGCACTTTCGCGATAAATTTTAGGACTTGATTGCACATTTTGAAAGTTTCAGAACTCAGTTGTATTTTCGTGACAAATTTTAGGACTTCTCAGTCAACTTTGGTTGGTTCATGTGTGGAAACCATTCAAGAACTGAATTGGTTGGTTCCAAAAGTAGAGCTGCGGCATTGGTTCTCGCCTCTTATTTTCGTTCTTACAAAAAGAAAAGGTTGCTAATCATTGTGGCAAGGACGCAAAATGGCCAGACGATAGAAAGTTGCGATCAAAGGCAATGGCTTTTGTCATCATGTGTCTTTCCAATAATTTCGTAGGACAAATTTTATTCGCAATAATTCAGAGAAACCCGTTAACATAGCATACCCAAAAAAATTTAAAAAAAAAAATGAGAAATTTGCACCTCATGATGCTTCATGCAACTTCAACCACTAAACTACACCACGCTTTCCATCTCCTAATTCCATCCACAAGCTCTTCACTGTCCTGTCTCGTTCCTCTTCGCTTTCACTTATGTACCACTCCATTGGCCGTCACTCATCTAATCATCTCTAAGTTCCCAAGAAAGCTAATAGAAAACTGAATTTGGAAACGAAAAGTCGGAGATTAAATCAAAGAAGTGATGTCGGATTGGGGCCCCGTTTTCGTGGCGGTGGTGCTGTTCGTGCTGCTGACGCCGGGCCTGCTGTTTCAGCTGCCGGGTCGCCACCGGTTCGTCGAGTTCGGGAACTTCCAGACGAGCGGCGCTTCGATCATGGTCCATTCGCTCCTCTACTTTTGCCTCGTCTCCGTCTTTGTTCTGGCCATCAAGGTTCACTTGTATCTTGGCTAAAAACTCTCGCTCCTGCTTCGAGGAATTAGAAAAGCGGTGAGTCATTTGTTTCGCCGTTCCCTTTTCCTACCATCACCCTTCAATTTTCGTCAAAATTGTTGTCGCTCTTTCGACAAGATTCGAGTACTGTAATCGATTTCTTTCACATGGGTATCGTGAAATCGACGGTGCGTATCGTGGAAACTTCTCTCCTTCTTGCTGGCAACACTGTGAAGTCAACTTTGGCACGGTTTCCTCTCTTCCCCGCTTGGTTTTTGTTAAATCTGCAGCTCCCAAGATTACGGAAACGACGGCAAGCAACCTTTGAACGGGGCTTTGACCGAGTTTGCGCACGTTTTAATGACAATGGGAGAGGTCAGGCTCTTAGTAGGTGGAGAAGTCATCGAGAAGCTAACCGTACCAATTCACTGCAGTTGAAACCGACCATACTAATTTATTGCAGTCGGGTCAATTGGTTAGGTGATTTCTGAGATGAACGAGTCAGTTGTGGGTTCAAGTAAGAAGCACGTGAGATTGCTGGGTTACTTGTGCATTCAATAAGATATACAGCGGCACCTACCGCACAAGTTTTGGCCTCTTAAGGAAAACTCTCTGGACATCTTTAGTATTACGTGTTTGGTTTAACTGTGTTGTCATGACCAAGCTGTGCAAAATGTCCTTGTCCATCTTTTTTATGACCAAGTGTATATTGCAGTTGTCGATGTAGTCCGTGGTCGATAGACTCGATACAATATCCAACTCGGTAGGGTAAACTTGAAGCATATCGAATCAATATCGGATCGAGCGAACTTCAATTTAGCAACGAAAAGGAGGGCGGCTAAGAATGCGATGCTAAAACGGAATGCGCCATCCGATTCGGTGATGGATATAGATGTTGCATTAGGTATTTTTAAACATGACGTTCCAATTCGCGAGCTAATGTCACCGCGTGCCAATTATTATTATGATTTAAGAAAAAAGTTTCTCACTTTGAAATTCAATTACCTTTCAAGCACCACTCCTTTTCTATCTTGTTAGTCGATAGGTAATAGATGGTAGACGTGATAATCAGGCGAACTGAGGCTCGTAAGTCGGGTCTAACGTGTTGTTCAGCTCCCCCATGACCTATGATGTACATTGAAATGTTTAGACCGGGTTACGTCGAGCTGGGTCAAAATTGGGCGGGCCAGCATTTCTAATGCACAACGTGCTGCTTAAGCCCACTAGTTTGTCCATATGGTATCTCTCAGGTCTGGGGGCCCAATTCCAAAAAAAACCCCAAACTTTACACTTTGTCCCAATTATACCCTGAACTTTTTTTTGTCCCAAGAAAAACCTCAAACTTTGCTCTGAGTCCCAATCTACCCTACCGTTATAACTCCGTCCAATTAACGTCGGAAAAAAAAAAAAAAAAAAAAAAAAAGAGCAATGCGGTGCGGCGTGGCCAAGCCTTCGCCGGTGGCCGCCGCCACTAGCCGCCGGGAAGGAGCGCGGCCCTCGCTGGGCCTTCTCGAAGGCGGCGACCTCGCCGGCCCGGGCGAGTCGCCGGCGAGGGCTGCGGCCCCGATCTCGGGCGGCGCGACCTCGCCCAGATCGGGGCGGAGGCCCTCGCCGGCGACTCGCCCGGGCCGGCGAGGGTCGCGGCGGCCGGAAGGCCCAGGCAGGGCCGCCGACCCTGGCGAGGCGTCGCCTGGGCCTCCCGAAGGCCGACGACCCTCGTCGGCGGAGGGATGCGCCCGATCCGGGCGAGGTCGCGCCCTCCCCCGGATCGGGGCTTGCGAGCCCTCGCCGGCGACTCGCCGGGGCGGCGAGGGTCGCCGGCCTTCGGGAAGGCCCAGGCGAGGGCCGCCGACCCAGGCGAGGCCTCGCCTGGGCCTCCCGAAGGCCGACGACCCTCGCCGGCGAGGATCGGCCCCGATCTGGGGGCGGGTCGCGCCCTCCCCATATCGGGGCTTGCGTGCCCTCGCCGGCGACTCGCCCGGGCCGGCGAGGGTCGCCGCCTTCGGGAAGGCCCGAGCGAGGCCGCCGACCCGAGCGAGGCCTCGCCTGGGCCTCCCGAGGCGGAGACCCTCGCCGGCCCGGCGAGTCGCCGGCGAGGGCACCGCAAGCCCCGTCTGGGGAGGGCGCGACCCTCGCCCCGTCGGGCTGCAGGCCCTCGCCGGCGACTCGCCCGGGCCGGCGAGGGTCGCCGGCTCCGGAAGGCCCAGCGAGGCCGCGCTCTCCTTCCCGGCGGCTGGCGCGGCCACCGGCGAAGGCTTGCCACGCCGCACTGTGTTCTTTTTTTTTTTTTTTTTTTTTTTTTTTTTCGACGTTAATTGGACGAGTTATAACGGTAGAGGGTAGATTTGGGACTGAGAAAAGTTTGAGGTTTTTCTTGAGACAAAAAAAAGTTCAGGGTATAATTGGGACAAAGTGTAAAGTTTGGGGTTTTTTTTGGAATTAGGCCCAGGTCTGGGGCCATTGGACCGCTCTCTCTCTTTGATTTGATCAGGGTTCTTAGATTTTGAATGTCCTATCCAATCAATTTTTGCTTGAGCTCCATTACTTTCTGTACGTGTATGTGCCTACCTGATCCATGCACTATCTGGCGATGGGAAAAGTGTCAAAAAAGTCATAAACCTTTTACATTGGTGCCAATTTAGTCACAAACCTTTTTTTTTTGTGCCAATTCAGTCCTAAACCTTTTGCATTGGTGCCAATTGAGTCCTAAACCTTTTTTTTGGTGCCAATTCAGTCATAAACCTTTTACATTGGTGCCAATTCAATCTTTCGATACGTGAATAGCGATTAGCCGGAAGGACTAAATTGGCATCAATGCAAAATGTTTAGAACTGAATTGACACCAAAAAAAGGTTTAGGATTGAATTGACACCAATGCAAAAGGTTTAGGACTAAATTGGCATAAAAAAAAGGTTTGAAACTAAATTGACATCAATGCAAAAAGTTTAGGACTTTTTTGACACTTTTCTCATCTGGCGGTTGTTGAACGATGGGCACTAGGACCGATGTCGGTGTTCAATGACAACGCCGGTGAGTCTTTACGGATAGCTATATTTGTTGCTAAGCCTCTGTGTTCAGACCCTTTTTTGTTTGTTTCAATCTGTTTCTACTTAAGAACCTTCCTTTATAGGTACTATAGTAAAAATCAAGGTTATTTGTTCTTCTTGTGAAAAAGTCAAGCAAGAGATGTAAAGATAACATATGAAAGGAGACCCCGTAAATAGAAGAGCCATTGAAACTCCATGAACAGAAAATCATGCGATACTTTAACACATAAGGTGCTTCATGACGAGGAAAAGATCTTTGATACCGCTACTTCTTCCTTTGTGGGCTATGTATGTGAGGCCCAATTCCCTAAAAAATCTCCAACTTTAGCCTTTGTCCCAATTATATCCCAAACTTTTTTTTGTCTCATAAAAAACCCCAAACTTTTACTTTTGTCCCAAATCTACCCCGTTTACTATTCATCCAATTTTTTAATATTATTTTTTATTTTTTCGAATTTTTTTCTTTTTTTTTTCACCTTCAACCTCCGGCCGGCGAGGTCGGCCCCGCCGGCCTCTGGCAAGGTCGGCCTCGCCGACGGCCGTGGGCCGAGCCTCGCCGGATCCGGGCGAGGGTCGGCCCGCCACGGCACTGGCGAGGTCGGCCTCGCCCAGCCAGAACGGCGAGGTTCGGCCTCATTGGTCGGCCTCGCCTGAAGAACGGCGAGGTTCGGCCTCGGCCGGAGCCTCGCAGGTTCCGGGCGAGGCCGACCTCGCCACCGCCGGCGTGGGCCGAGCCTCGCCGGATCTTGGCGAGGCTCGGCCCGCCGGCCGTCGGCGAGGTCGGCCTCGCCAAAGAACGGCGAGGCCGAGCCTCGCCAGCGGCCGGCAGGGCCGACCTCGCCGGCCCTCGCCTCTGGCCGGTCGTTGGATCGGCGACCAGTCGGAGGTTGATGGTGAAAAAAACAAGAAAAATAAAAGTAAAAAATAAAAAATAAAAAAATTCGAAAAAATAAAAAATAATATTAAAAAATTGGATGAATAGTAAATGGGGTAGATTTGGGACAAAAGTAAAAGTTTGGGGCTTTTTATTAGACAAAAAAAATTTTGGGATATATTTGGGATAAAGGCTAAAGTTGGGATTTTTTAGGGAATTGGGCCAGCCTACTACTTTCAAAGAGAGTTAGAATTGCCCCGTGTCTTGTGTTAATAGGAGCGTACGAGGCCAAGGCACCGGATCTTCTATCAGATGTTTCCAAGTTATGGACATAAGAACATGGGACCAACCCGTCCGCGGAGGGCTAGGAATCTTTTTTTTCACTGGTGTTAAGTAAATCAACATTGGTGCCTCTTTAGCCCTCTCTTGATAAATGACAACTCTTGTCCTTACCTTAATTTATATAAACTATCAAAACAAATTGAATTTCTGAACAGGATATAAGTCATAAGAAACGCGAATTTCGATGATTACTCTTAATCTCTCCATCATTTCATAAAAGACGAGTTCAATCCAAATAGTTCTACTCGTTTTTAGTTACCCGCTTGATTTCTATACCCTCTTCTTCGCGTTGATGTATGCACTAATCACCAATACGACTACTGCATTAGTATTCGTGCATCTCCCTAATGGGGCGCTAGTTCTCAGTTCCTTTACATCGCACTTCAAAGTTCAAAACAGATGGAGAAGACGATGAGCAAAAACGAGGATCTCGTTCATAGAGAAAGAAATGGATTCATTATTTAACACCGCATCGTCCTTCGTGAACCCAAACTACAATAACACAAAGGACGGAGCACGTGATGCAGAGCCCAAGCACAGGGGCTAAGCGCATCACCGACCGCTTGCCAGAAAGATTTCTTCCCCGTCACTGATGCTCGGTCTGCATTTGATATTATTCCTTTCTTCCTCCTCTGGTACTCGGCAAACTCGCACAAACCCTCCTTGTCCCTTCTTTTCCTCCGTATAAAGAGGACAAGTCACGACAGCTATAGGCTAAGAGACCTCCAAAAGTTGCTAGAGACACCCGATAACGCGCGCGCTCTGAGAGAGATAGAGAGAGATGGCGGACTGGGGTCCGGTGGTGATAGCGGTGGTGCTGTTCATACTGCTGAGCCCGGGGCTGCTGTTTCAGCTGCCGGGGAAGATGAGGGTGGTGGAGTTCGGGAACATGCAGACGAGCGGGCCCGCCATTCTCGTCCACACCATCATCTTCTTCTGTCTCATCACCATCTTCCTCATCGCCGTCGGCGTCCACATCTACACCGGATAGTCCAAACCGATCCGGGCGCTCTTCCTTTTATTTTCTCCTGTGATAGTCGCTTTTGATTGGTTTTATTGTGTTGTGATCCTGTTCCGCTTCATTTTTTTCTTTGTTGGGCTTGTTTGCTTGATTTTAGTCGAGTGTAGCCGAGTGATGAAGATGCTATGACAAAGATCTCTGCTCTAACTTGGGTCCGTGCTGTTTCTTCGGCCGATGCCACAGAGAATGCCAGGGATCTTCTCTTGAGAGTTTTCTCTGCCATGCTATCACCCTCTGAATAGTTAACTCGCAGACAATATATGACAGTGCACGCATATGACTATTGATTCATTCTCCTTCCATTTTCTTCGAGACTTGACAAGCAAGGGTACTTGCAAAGCCAAGATCCGAGCGTGAAGGTTCAAATCAGATAAATTGATCGCAGAGGATGCACCTGAAAGTCAAACGGGTGTGATGCACTCATGATCGGTTGTTTCTACGAGAGTCGATTCTGATTAGGTACTACCTCAAGTTGAAAACTTACCACAAATTAAGACTCTTTCTTTTGCTTATATTTGCCCGGAAAACTAGAAAACCAAATGACTCGAAATGATCCCCGGGGTTCCGCTTAGTATCTAATTATGTTGTTAGTATTTTACAATGAATCCACATGATCACGGATTCCAGATTCGCATCACGTGTACCCAATCCGTACGACAACACTTGACATGAATTACATCGCCTCAAATGCTGGCAAAGCCGCGATGAAAATGACTCGAGCTTATGTCCAGTTTGGAAAAGTTCCCGGGGACAACAGCACAATCCAAACCAGGCTAGAGGCTGGCGATCGGGATAAAACCGATCATCGTATTAAATTGTAGCGTATGAAGCCAATTCTGCCACACGAGCTGTTTCTTGAAGCTTTCTTCAGATAATCCGGTCCAACTTCCGATTCCAGACGAGCGCGAATTTTATGCCTTAGAGATAACAGGACAAAGGACGACGATTCTGTATTTGAAGACACACCTCAGACACAAACCAACATTCGATCTGTTGTTTCGTTAAACACACAACGTTGAACACATTCATCGCCCCAACAATTATCCAGCATCACACCCGCTAGTAAACGGGCAGCGGCATATTCTGACCTAGCCTCGGTCCATGATGGAATTCGACATGGAATGACAATCATGGAATCATGAGATTTGAACTGATCATCATCGAATCAACAATAAAAAGGTCAAAGAACGAGGTAATAGAGATCCTTAGACGGGGATCAAACTACTATAATCGAAAATGCCGACCTCCTGAAGATTACAAATACAGAAACTCGGAGGCATGGGAATAAAAATTTGAAAATGCGAGATACATAGGAACTGAGAACTAGCTCCCCAGCTCTCATCCAAAACAGGTATTGAACTGTATATTATCCTAAAAAAAGGCTTCAACGATACATCATTTCTGAATCTAACTACTTCAAAAGCCATCTCGAAATATTATCCGCAGAATCTACAAAGAGAAAGGTATCCGCAATTCTGCATCAATACTTGAAAAGCTCCGTAATCTCAATGTCCCTATATGTGTAACTTAAGGCAGTAGTAATTGCAAGAACAACCGAGTTCTGTGCTCTCAATCCTCTGGGACATAATTCATCCCTTCAGCACATCTCCAAACGGTCTTTCCATTCACAATAGCTTCCATGCTGATCATTTCAAATTCACAAAAGGGACATGTTAGAAAATTAACCATGGACTATTGCTGCACTCATCTAAAACATGTAGACACAGGAAACTGATCGAAATGTGAACAAGAAAAGGAAAAGAAGAGCTACTACCATCTGAACATGAAGCTGACCGACATGTAGAGCACTTTGTGTACCAGTTAAATAAATTTCAAGTTCGACCAAAAACAAAATTCAAGTACATCAGAAATGTACAAGGAAAGAGAAGCGAGAAACAAAGGAAACCATCACAAGACTATGTGGAGTCGCAACAAGATGTCCAAAGTCGAAGAAAAGAGCGCAACAAAGATACAGATAACTTGCCCGAGTGAAACTTGTTTTAGCGATGTACTCCGTCACGTATGCTCAAAAGCCCAAATGACCAAACGTGAGCAATTCTATTTGACTCGATCAGTTATATAAAACCTTTAGCTAAAGTCAATATTCCCATTTTCCTAGCTAGCCAAATTCTAGACAAACAGAGTCAGAGGCAATAATCACTGACCAGAGCAGAAATTTCTGTGGACAGCTCAAACCAAATCTTTTGGCAATTCTATTGGGTGAAGCAAGCCAATTTCAACTCAAAATTCTCTTTGAGCTTCATCGAATGAAGGTGCATTTTCAATACTTCCAACAGCAGCCAACCATGACATTCTGAAAACTTGGCTAGAAGCCTAAGAATTAGTTATTCCCCTTCCAAACTTTTATCAAGCCCTACCTACATGAATTTGATGAATAGAAAAATCAAGGTACAAACACCCCGACGCATATGAGCAGGTTTGACTTCGGCCGGAAGTTGATCAAAGAATCCTACTCTAAACACGATACAATACAGATGTACACTCCAAAGAACCTCATATGTTTATCAATACATGACTAGAACTGTTTTGAAGTAATTCTCATTTGAGTAAATGATTTCTACGTTATTGTTGGAGAGGTCAAAAAGTTGCACCAGCTACAAATCAAACAAAGAATTTACAGCAAGTGTTGCATAGGGAATCTACTTATAAAATGCACAAGCAGCAATTTCGCTGTTGGCAGAAGAGCAATGGCAAAGTCAAATCAGTGAAACTCCAGAAAAGCATATACGACGCATTGTGCAGAAAGCATAATCAAGCTAAGATTTTGTAATATCGCTGCCATATGAATCACGGCAACAAGAATATGCTTTGCTTGAAATGCTCATCTTCCAAATTCCAAAACTTTCCATGCATTTACTGGCCAATGCCAAATCCGTCCTTATTTCATCGAAAAGAGCATACATCATGTAAATTGAACAGAGCACATGTCAGAAGGAAGTGAAAAAGGGCAACCTATAACAGTGCCTAACTATATCGAAATTGACCATGTCAGAGGAAAGACACCATCACAAAAAGACATTTTTTTTGCCCAATTTTCTCATTATCAATCGAGCATAACAAATTCAAGCAGCTGGAAATAGACTACCCGAGGTTCGCATCAATACAAGTTCATCACAGAGAGATCCCACAGAGCCCAAAAAACAAAAAACAAAAAAAAATGTCAACAGCAGCATTAGGAACCAAAGATCGACAAATAAGTTATCTCAATTTCATTGAGAAACTACATAGTGTTGCAAAATGAGCTTCCTAATCATAAGTTGCTCCCCTGCTTTCCTTTTTGCTATGAATAACCCAATAACTGACCCATGGAATTGATGAACAAGCCCTTGAACGCATACAAAGCTAACGCTAGCATCAACACAAGCTACCGCCAAAATCAAATAGAACGATTAAGCAACAAATCCATCAAACAGCAATGTGAAATTTAAGATTCCGGCGACAAATTCAGCCCCAACAGCGGTTCCCAGAGACAGGACACAGAGTCAGACAGAACAGCTCACGAGGGTACGGAGAGATTTCTTACACGGAATCTCCTTCCGCGGCGCCGGTGGACCCGTGGCGTAGTACAGGATCGACCGCCCCAAGACCGAGAGGCTCGAGACAATCCCGGCCACGTACAGGAGCATCACCAGCCCGAGCACCCACGGCATCAGCATGAAGCCGATGAAGAACGTGACCGATCCGCACAGCATCAGCGCCAGCGATATCCCCAGCATCAGCGACGCGAACCCCGCCGGCGTGATCTGCGCCACCGACCCCCTCGACGACGACGACGACGACGAACCCTCCGCCGCCGCCGCCGCCGCCGCCGGGGACTGATCGGAGAACGAGACAGGCGTCGGGGGCGATCGGAGCAGGTTCAGCACGAAGGCGGAGAGCTCGCAGAAGGCCCGGGACTGACGGTCCGGTTGCTGCCTCCTCACCATCTTCAACCTCGTCGGAAGAAAATCTGGACGTCCTGATGATGATCGAATAAAATCCCTTCCCGAATTTCGCCAAAAAACGAGGCAATGATTTTCCTTCAGTCAATGATTTTCTCGGCAAAATGGGGCGGGTGGCTGCGCGCAGAGCTCCGGGGTATTATTTTCTCGGGAAAATATTGGGAATTCTTGGCAGGGACGGAAAGGGACGCGGCGATGCAATCATTTCTGGTCGAAGGAGGGTCTGGGGGAAAGTTGCGCGACATAATCCGTTATTTTTTTTTTATCTTTTTTTTTTCTAAATATTTATTGAGGATTTATGTATATATTGATCAAGCGGGATAGGAAAATTTAAAAAAGATTTTCCCGGAAAATGGAGATCTTGTCGACGCGTGTGGTTCTATTTTTCTTTGGGGGGGGTTGCTTTATCCGTTAGCCACCGACGGATTAGGGGCGGGCGACACGTCACAGATCGGGCGCGCGCGAGGGACACGCGCTTTCGGATGTGGGGTGAGGGGCCGGGGCCGGGGGGATGGGGTGGGTGGGGCCCGGCTGACGTGGCGGGACCTTTTATCCTCTGCGGCCGGCGGCGGCCGCACGTGCGCTGCTCCCTGCGGAGGAGGAGGAGGCAGCGGCGGCGGCGGTTGCGGGGCGCGTGGGAAGGGCGGCGACCGGTGGAGCGTTTCGCGGGGACGGTGTTTCGCGACTGTTCATTATAAGCATTTTGTTTTGGGCCCCCCCCCCCGGCAAATTTAGGATAAGCTCAGATTTGAGGAGGGCTTGCTAATTTTCGGGCGGCGCGTGGGCGCCTTTTGGGCCTCCTTGTCTCCGGCGATCCCCCTTTTCAGCCCGGACGGGCCCGTTGGGCCCGTTGTTATGGGCCGCGGAAAAGCCCACTAGCTGATGAATCGCAAGCGGGCGGTGCGCATTTGAAAAGGTCGAAATTGGGCTTGTGAAGAACGAGAGTGGATTATACTTGGGGAAAAAAGACACTGTGCTAGTTTGGTCTTTGTGCTTTATTTCGTAAGAAATTTTTGGGCTATAAATTAATCTCCCGTGAATATTCTTGGACAAGTACCTCCTTTCTCTTGAGATATTGATCGAAAATGCTGGGTATGCGCCGTAGACGAACACACGTGGCATTGACGTGGAATGACTACGGATAAAAAAAAAGTTACGGAAATTGTGAAAAGTGGTCCGTCTATCATTGTTCCTATTTGATTATGGTCTAAGATTTGGTCTCCAGACTAAGTCTTGGGTTTTGAGATCATTTCGTATTTCGCTCCGTATGTGGATAAAAAAAATCGACTGAGAGCGAAAGGCCAACACATGCATCGATTTGAAATAAGCTACGAAGAAAGACGACTTAAATTGCTCGTGTGAGCGAAACTCTCAAAAAGAGTATTCAAGCGATGACTATTAAGAGAGAGTTGCTAATGGGTCATCGAATTTTGCATTATATATAACATGCGGACGCCTCATGTCGATTTCCGGTACTTAGTATGTTTCATTCGCATTTACGACTTTTTTTGGAAATTTAAGCATACCGAAACATAAATATAGTTAATAATATTAGGAGCATATGTCGAATTCGTCAATGGGTTTGATTACGGGAAATATTACGTCAAAAATCGACCGAGTCCCGTCACCGACGATGGTTCCTTGCGAAAGATAGGAGTCAAAACCCTAGCCTACTTTTGGCTACTGGGTTTGCAGAAAGGTCAAGCTTGTTTCCATCCACCGCAGGAAAGAAGAAACATGATTTAATAGATGAAATAAAGTAAGGTCAAGTTTTATGGAGACCTTGAAGCAAAAGAATCGAGCGTAGGAGTCATCGGATCCGACCAGCCGATTTTGGGCGATTCTGCAGGAACTGATGATCGTCGGTTTGGTTCCAATTCCAAGTGTGGAAACAAATCACCTGGATCGCGCGGATCAGACCGATATATTTTCTCTTAGTAAGTTAATGATACTTGATCATATTATATCACATTTAATTTTTCATTGATTAAAGATAAAAAAACACTAAAGAATGAGATTTCAAACTGTACAACTACACTTGCAGTCTTGTAGGGAATAGGGAAAAGAAAAGAAAAACATATCACCGCCGGTTCCTAGATCTGATCCGGTTTGGTTCCCGGTTTCCGGTTCCACAAATCGAAAACCGCCCCTTCAAGTGTAGCAAAAGAATTTGGTGAACGCTAACTTTATATGACTTGACATGGTTAAGCACGTCGAATATATTCATTTTAGCGCATGCAAAGACAGTTGTAATGAAATTAATTTTTGCACGATGGACGTGGTAAAGAGCAATTATTTCGTAAATTAAATTAGTTGATTGCATCTTAAGAATCTATAGAACCATGACACGTCACGCTATACTGTCTCTAATATCGTAATTAGAGCTATTTATCGAATCGATTATAAATTAAGCTAGTAGAAAATTTTTGTGGGCACCTAACCTTATCTGTTTCTAGGTTTCTCGAAAATAAAGACACCTGCTTTAGCGCTCTGCATGAATCCGCTGATGTCAGCCGACTCTCCTAGAACCCACTTTCCACCTCTAGAAGGAAATCTCTCGCTTCGTGCGATCATCTCAAACTCTCTCTCTTTTTGCCCTTTTTGCTCCTGAAAATGCGCTTGTCATCCTCCATTGCTACGATCTCCAAGCTCATGATCTCTGACAGAGGCCGCAGAGTAAGCTTCTCGCGCCGAAAAATGTCGAGCTTCCCCTCTCTCTCTCTCGCATTCATCTTTCGTTCATAGTTTAATTAGTAGTTTGATATCTCTGCTTCGGTTTTTGTAGAAACTCCTCCTAGCTTATCTTACCTCGTGACTGAAGTTACGTTCGTTAGCATATGCCATCCTTCAACGGTGAGGGAAATTTCTTCAACGATCTAAAGAAAATGACCGGTCGCTTTCTCTTTCGCAACAATTGTTTGATGCTCGTGTTCGATCAAGTTTGCACATCGCTTGCCCGGGCTCGCACGGTTGCGATCAGTGATCACTCGTTAGGTCACTGTTTATAATGTGATTCTTTACGTTAGTTTTAGCTGAGATCTTTGAAATGAAAGACTCTAAATATGTGCCAGGGTTCCCATGTGTTTCGCTTTTCAATGTTACGTACGTCGTCGCTCCTCTCTCTCTCTCTCTGATGGAAAAGATTGCCTTCGGGTAGTTCTTTTATTGAGTGTGGATAGTCATTTCTGCACGATTGAATACATATATATATATATATATATATATATATATATATATATATATATATATATATGGATGTGTGTGATTGTATATCCACTATGGAAAACTTGTTAATGATGCGACGAAGGATAATAGTTCCATTCACTACAGTAGCACTCGATCCTTATTATCCTTCCGATTAAATTTAGTGCAGGTTCTTTACATTTCACAGAGAATGGCCGAATGCTTGGTGTGTCTCATCTGCTCTTGCATGGGTCTGATGCGGTTCGATAGGATAAATTGTTGAAGGTATGGCGCTTTCCCCCTGCTATGGTTTGTATTTCTGTCTGAACGAAGCAGCTAACACTATCAACTTGTTCTTTTTCCACGAGTCTCGTGATATGACTGGTAACCATTGGCATGTCCTTTCATATAATACCGTGTGTGCACCAAGGAATAGAGCAAACCTACGAAAAATTCGCGGGTGTTCCCAGAACTTGTAAAGCCCAACTCACATGCATCACTAGATAAGATGCACTCACATGGTTTATTCATGCATGTAAGCCGGAGCATGCAATACTAGCTTCCCAGATATGTACAGATGTTCTTCAGCTCAGCTTCTGGTTCTATCTAGGGCTTGTCCTCTTGCCATCTGATAATAAAAGGCAAGATGGATCATAGTGGCATTAAACAGACATTGAGGACATGGATCTGCCCGGTCTTGATGGCAGGCATCTATGCAATATATTCATAGTATATGGAGACATGGCACTACCGGATTCAGCTTGGGGAGAACTAGAATTGTAGATTCGACCAATGTATGTTAACATGAGAGAGAGCTCACCTAGTTGAGGACATCATATTCTAGTTGGGTGAAGATGAGGATAATCTATTTCATCCAATGGTAAGATTTATGGACTGTTCGGGTGTCCCCAAGTAGAAACTCTCTTACTTTTGCCTCCGAAAAGTCTGGAGTCTGTTTTCGCTCAAAGAAGGCATGTTGAATTATGTTTTACATGTACCCTCCTGTACTAAGGGGATTTCCATTCTCAATTCTGCTAACCGGTAGCTGACTCCTACTGTCCTGGTTGATATGAAGTTCAGTGAGAATCTCTTAGTAGTCCATATTATCATGTCGTTGTGCCCATAGATTATAATTCAAAGAGAGTGTGTCAACTAGGTCATAAGGTCCATAAAGACGACATGGTTTGATCTTGCATGATAACTGTTCTAAGCCAAGATCATATTCACAAGAGGATCGCAGCAGGTCAAGCTAGATTCTGTTAGTAAGTGCACAACCATTTTCCACCACTATCGGAGTAAATGGAGAGTAGCCTGTCGAGGATGAAAAAATGTAGTGTTCATTTCAGAAATCCCAAGAGCAACCTCGTTGACATTATCATCATAGCTCACCAGGGAAGTAATCTGCAAGTCATGAACAGTATTAAGGTCTTTGCATGGATACTGAAAACCACATATATGATGGTCACTTGTTGTGAAGCAAGTCCATGAGAGTCATCTTACCTCCTCCTTCAGAGACTCATGCTCCTCTCTCATCATCTTTTCCTGTTCAGAAGATTAGATTAGAATATTCACAATTATTTGTCAGAATTCATGTTTCTAGTGTTCTGTGGGGCTACATGGTGCAGAAACACATAAATCAGGTTTGTGAAAAGCCATGCTTCGATTCTTATCCCTTCCTGACTTAATTGTTTAACTACGCTATAAAGCCAGTGGCACAACATGTAAACTTTCATCAGGCTGCTTTCTCTGGTGACAGTAGATGCAACTTGCTCTCTCTTTCTGTAGCAGTTCTTCCTAACACATCCTCTGTTCTTATTCTATTAGTTCAGGGTTTACTTCCTTGCTAGTTGTGTTTGAACTGGCCTATTTTCCTTCCTGCTGGACCCTTGACTCGAATAGGTCAATCCGTCCGCAAATATTTCTATTCAATTAAAACTCTTTAGAAAAAGTAAAATCAAACACCTAGAGTTGTTAAGATGAAATTTTTAAACTCCTTTTCTCATCTATACACTCTTGAAAGTTGCTAATGACTATTCCTCAAAGCCCTGGGAAATCAAGGTCAATTGGCTGGATGTATTGGGAGCACGCAGCAGAAGCCCAATACCTTCACCTAGGGAGATTGCAAGAGAGAGCTCAAGTCCGAGCCCGTCAACATATCCAGTTGGACCCAACTTCACTCAAAAAGCTTAAACCAATGAGTTATGTGCTAACTAGGATATATTAACTGCTTAATACCACATTAATTATCCGATGTGGGACTTCTCTAACACAACTCACACGTGTATCTCAACAATCTCCCCCTCACGTATGAGCTCAGTGTTAGGTTTGCTCATCCTTAATTTAGGTATTCTTCTGCATCAGCTTATCTCAACTTGAATCTCTAAGTCATTGCAATGCACCCACAATTATGCACAACAACCATCATCAACTGCTAACTTGGGATTGCATCACCCATGGTCTCTATCTCGCGTCACCAGACCAACTGTCCATGGTCACTTCTCGCCAGACCAATTGTGATGGCAATTTCCATCTGAAACAAGCGTCAATCATGAGATTTCTTTGTTGAGATATTCACCAAATACCGGAACAGATTGAAGGGCCACCAATCAATCATCGTCTCTGATACCATTAGTTGGAAGCACGCAGCAAAAATCCGATACCTTCAACTGGGGAGATTGCCAAAAGGGAGCTCAAGTTTGAGCTCGTCAATATATCTAGTTGAACCGACCTTCACTCAAAAAGCTTAAGCCAATGAGTTATGAGCCAACTAGGATATATTAACTGCTCCACCACATCAATTATCCGATGTGGGACTTCTCTAACACAACTCACACATGTATCTCAACAGGATAAACGGATCATGTTTGTTCTGGAATGCTGAAATGACATTTTTCAAGGCCGTGACCACACAAAGATGATGGCAATGAAGAATTTATGTTAATTGAATACTAACTTCGTTCAAGCTCTTAAAAGAAACAACAAAATGGCAATGAAGAAGCCAAAGTCATGTTTCTCCAGATTCTAGAACTGCCAATTCTATTTTCAGAAAAGCGCATACACATTCTTCTGCAGCTTTGTGGAACTAGGACCCTGGAGATCTATATTATGATAGAAATGCCAGTCCAACTAAGGTAAACAGGATGCTGGTTAATGAATTATTGACTGGTAATCAAATGCTCAGTGTCCTTAGTGGGTTTATACCAGGTAGTGGACAACTGGAAATGTGAACAAATATGAGACAGAAACAACTGCAGCACAGAGATTGTCTGGGGGAATATTGGTGCAAATGGGTATTAAGTGTTGCGAAGAACCCATTAGTGTGGATTACGGACAGGTCGGTAGTTTTACTATGATGTGTGGCTTTGAAACAAATTACTCGGTCCATAGTTGGAAAGTATCACAGTAATTCAGTACATGCTGTAGCATAGATGCAGAAGACTCTTCGATTAACTGCTACTTATCGGGAGCGTATATGCTGTAATTCTAATCCAAGAAATAAGAGTCTGTTTTGTACCTGTTCCTGCAAGGTAGTTTTGGACTCCAACATTAGCTCTGTCTGCAGGAAGAATTAATCAGTTTGAAATCTGCATGAGGATTTCAGCAGCAGGTTGCGTGAAATAAAATTTACTTTGCATATGGGATGGAGTATGTATGAACAAATTCATTTAAAACTCGCCGATAATTGTAGTTTAGGCAGACATGGAGACATATCAGTAGAACGGGTGACTAGTAACTTTTATCTCAACTAGGAAACAGCAGTATTTTACCTAAAACATGAATCTGTTCATCAGATTACAGAAGTGAATCTGAATTCAGCTTTTCGTGCCTACAAATGTTACTTTTGTAGCAAATAATAACCTCTTGGTGGAGAAGCATGTGACTTCTATTGTGAAGTCTCTCAACACAGTTTAGAATTTGGAAAAGTGTCCAAAGTTTTAATCTTGCAATTTTCTTTTTCCCTTTTTTGATAAGAAAGATCATTAGACTGAGCTCACAGAAGAAGAGGGACACAAGTGAAAGTGGATGCAGAGCCCAGCATGTCAAAAGGGAAAGCCTAGCTTCCACTTTTGAAATAATGGAATCATAAACCGCCTCACTTCTGCACTCATATTCTACCCACAACTGTGCCTGCTATCTTTTTGATAAGTAAGATCATGAGACGGAGCTCACAGAAGATGAAGGAAGAAGGTGAAAGTGGATGCAGAGTCCAGCATACCAAAAGGGAAAAGTCTAAACAGCTTCCGCTTTCGCAGAACCAGTGTTATATGCCACTTCACTCGTGCAAACCCATCAAATGGAGGCCTCAGCCACAACAATGCCTACTTTTGTGGAACCAGCTCTATTCTTTGAGTTATTAAAAAAAGAAGACAAATTCAGTAACACGATGGTGAGAACTATTACCAGGCATATGTTTAGTTACATCATAAATAAGCAGGGACAACCAAGCTTAGTCCATATAATCCACTGACCAGCATCCAACATATACTGATACAGCAAATTGATCACAATGTTTTGATCATGTGCACCCATCTTCTTTGGTTTTGGTTTCATTTAATCTTTAAGCTGAGGCTATCAGCCAAATTGGCACACAATACTTTCAGAAAGTTTTCAGCTGCAAACGCCAGCTAGGTAAAGAAAAGCCAGTGAAATACAGGAAAATGAACTCCCCTACGTAAATGTGACATGTGGAGAACACTTAATCATCCCCATATAATTTGTCAAATCCAATGTTCACACAGAATGCAGGAGGAGACACATTGACATAAGAAAAGGTTTTCTCTGGATAGCTTGCCACTTCTGTATGTCTCAACTTTAAGCCCGCGAAAAAAGCTGATCTAAATAGAATTCTAAATCCGAATTGGACTTATGATTTGACGTCCAAACAAGCAATTGATATACTTTCCACGTTGATGTTAAATTCTTAGTTTGAATAGTCTGAGTCGGCAAGTCACATATGAACATATAAGAACGGAATTCTACTTAGTTATTACACACTAAAGCAAACAATAGAAGTGTTAGGGTTTTCTCTTTGTGAATTTTTTGAGCGAGAAAACACTTGTTGGTTTGTTTTACGTGTAATTTAAGGCAGGGAAACACTCGAGCGATTGACAAATGGTGACTTTGCAATTCTCCAGATTCGTAGTGGATTTCTTTGTGGATGGCTAGACTCTCGTGAAGTAGGCACCGACGCTCGGATCGAATCACGTAATTTCTAGGGTCTTTTTGTTCTTCGTTAATTTCTCTGGTAATTTCTTTTTCCCACATTAAATTTGAATTTCCAATTCGCGTTATTTCATAACAATAGGTATTAGAGTAAGATTAGTATTTCTAAAGTTTATTTGGAGCTTTTGTTTATTTGGTCATTGTTTAAAAAATGTGCGCTTACAATTACTGTGAAGCAAGAATTGAGAAAACACTTACTGTGAAGCAAGAATTGAGAACACAAGGGACAACTATGGTCCTGGAGCATTAAAATGCTTGCCCTGTTTATAACCAAGGTTTGGCGAAGGCTTTGACTGCAAGGATAAATTGCCAGAAACGATGAAAAAGGACAATAAGGTAGATTTGATGGAAAAGGCGAAAAACTTAATCATGCTGAATCCGTCGGATGAGATGTTGCTACTGTTGTGCGTAAAATTTAGCCACTTTATCTAATTAAGGGTTTAAAAAACCGCTCGTATATGTTTCAAAGGATGTTTCAATTTCGGGTGGTTGAACAAACAAATATCAGACCCCATTTAGATGAGTTCAACAAACTCATGATAAACATGAAGAATGTCAACAAGGCCTTGCTTGATGAGAAACAAGGTACAATGTTTATTGTCTACTGGATTCTTTTAAGCACTTTACCATTTCACTGCTATAGGGCAGCACTACGATTATCTTGGAATAGATAGTCCGCTTTGTTTTCTAAGGAGTGGCAAAAGAAGTTATGAGAAGATAACTTTGCACAAGATATGGCGCAAAGTTTAGTTATTTGAGGTAGAGACATACGCAGAGAGTTTGGAGGTAGCAGCCGTTTTGAAAAGGGGTCGAACATGCGATGTTATCACTACAATGAGGTACAATGGGAGAGATTATCCAATGAATAAGGGTAAAGGAGTTAAGGTAACGTTTGTGGCTAGGATAATATTGTTACTAACTCTCGGTACACGAAGGTTATAAGGTGCTTACGGGAAATGGTACTGCTTGTGAAATAGTAAAGAACGCAACAATTTATATTAAGATGCACAATGGAGTGTTGAAACATTGACTGAAGTAAGGTATGTACTGAAACTGAGAAAGAACCTTATTTCGCTGAGTGCTCTTAATGAGTTCTGATGTCGACCTCCATTAAATGTGGAGTTTTAAAGGTCCTTGAGGTGTGCTTACTATGATGCTAGGGATTATAGACGGTAGGTAGTATCTCCTCCAAAAAAGACAATGATTGGCCCATCCGTTCTTTGAAGCCTTAGGTTTGGACATGAAACAATTGTGGCACGAGTGAGAGAAATGATTGTTATAATTAGAGGGATTTCCAAGGAGGACCAAATGGAGAAGCTTAACTTCTTTGAATGCTTCGACATTAGTAATTAGCAGAGAGTGAAGTTTTGTACGGCATTTCATCGAACATTGGAGATTGTAGGCTCTGTGACATTATAGGGACTCTCTCAAGTTTCATCCAAGGATAGTGCTAGATATGTGTTGTTCTTTGTTGATGACATTTCAAGGTTTTTTTAAACACAAGAGCAAGGTGCTTGTTGATTCAAGTCGTGAAAGACGATCAAAATGTTGGTAGGAAGAAAGATCATGTGCCTGAGAACTAACAAAGAATTGGAATTCCATCTTGAGGAGCTTAGTTGGTTTTGCGCTGAGAAAGATATGGTGAAACACTACATGATATTAACACACTATGGCTGAACGGAGTTGCATAACTGATAAACAAAATTGAATTGGAGAGAGCTCGCTCTTACTGTCCAATACAAGAGTAGGTGAAAATGGGTCGGAGCATTGAATTCCGCTTATTGATTAGTGAATTTATCAACATCACCAGAAATTGATCAGAAAACTCTGGAGCAAAAGTAATTAGGTAACCCTACTACACTAGGCTAAGAGTGTTCAGTGTTGCCCTGCTTACACTTGTGTGAATATTGGCACGCTAAAGCCGATGGCAAGAGATGCATGGGCCTGAATTATGCACATGGGATGAAGCGATATAATCTGTGGTGCACTGAAGGTGATTTCACTTGGTTTTAAGTTCAGCAGAGAGGATACCTTTAACTAATTTGCTTTGTTTCAGAAGAGCAGTGAAGGATCGATTATAGAGAAAGATCAAAGGTGTGAAAAACAAGTGAAGTAGATGTGAAAGTATCTACAGAGCCACTGAATTCCATAGTAGCTGACAGTTGTTCAAAGGAGTAATGAATCTTCAAGGTGGTCAGCAGAGGTGGATGAGATAAACTGTATGCACATATCGAAATAAATAATTTCGGTGTTGTAGAGATAGTTCTAGGTTTGGAGATGCAAAAAGTGAAAACTGCTGGAATGTTGCGAGCGACTGGAAGGAGTTACATCAGGAAATTGTTGAAGCACTTCAACATACGATTGAGAAATTTTATAAGTACCCCACTTTCCGCCTATCATGAATCGTTTAGCCTATCACTATGTACTTGGATGGAATCGAATACTTGTCTCCAGATTCACATGCTGGTTGTTCGAGTTATGCCATAAATAATACTAGCTTGATCTTTCAAGTGCAGTCAGGAGAATGTATACGGCTAATCAAAGTGCACATGGGGATGAAGTCAAGTGGATCCAATTGTTGTGAACCATAAACGTTGTGGTACGTTGCGGAGGATGCGATTTAGGTAGTGTGGTAGTATCTAGGTTTGCGGACCCGAGTCACGCATGAACCAGAAGGATGGTTGAAATCTGATAGCTAATCCTTTGCTTCTCTAAATTGTGCTTTGACTAGGAAGACATCATGGTGAGGCATGAAGACGATGAATGGAGCTATAGAGGCGGTGTGGTCAAATGACTTGATTAGTGATGTTGGCTTGAAACATCGAGTTGATGTGGTGTTTAGTGGAAATCAGAGATATAATCAGAGAGACGAGTTCATTGGTAACTGGAATTTCTATATCAAATGTGGCATGTCTAATATAGAAGCTTCCTCCAACGAAGAATCTTGCAGACATGTAGACCAGGTTAATTCTTCTAGAGGAGTTCGTGGTTAGCTTGGGCTTGATTGACATATGTGACGGTTGAGCGCCCGCCTGGGCTTTGCAAAAGCCAGTGTGGATGATAAGCACTATGACTTGACTACAAGATCTAAGATGTAAAATTGTTAAATAAGTCTCGAATTTTAGTTCGTAAAAGAAACTCGATCCAAGTAGAAGTCAGGAGTTTCTCTCTAAGAGTTTTTTAAGAGAACTCTCACAAGAGAATATGAGATAACACTTGTAGGTTTGCTTTAGAAGTAATCTAGGAATGGGAAACACTTAAGTGATTGTGACTTTGTAATTCTTCGAATTCATAGTGGATTTTTTCACGAATGGCTCTTTATGTAGAGGAGGTATAGACACTAGAATCAAACCACGTAAATCTCTGGTGTGCTTCTTCTTTGATTTCTCTAACAATTTTTTCTACACATTAGATTTGAATTGCATGATCCATTAGTTCCTATGTTATTTCACATTTATTTCCACTACTCACTAATAATCAAGTCAAGATATAGCTCATCTTCATCGATGGAGACCGGTCTCGGCGCTGTCAGTGAGCATTCCCATATATTTTATGTTGAGTCAATTTCTTAACTCAATTGCACTAAAATTTTGCACCATGTTATTGTTCACTGTAAGCAAAAGGATAGATAGAATAGCACCTTTCTAGATCTAGTTTGTCTCAGTGCAGAATGTAGTTGCTTCTCTAGTTGTACTAAGTCGGTCACACTCAGCTTCTCAATATCTGGCCCACTTAAGTATCTGAAAATGAAAGATATTCATGTAAAATCCAACTGAATTCTTTTCATGGAGAGGTGAGCTGATAAATAGAAGTTCAACCTTTGAACTATCTGAAGCATCTCAGGATGTGACCAGTAAACCGCATCTTCAGATCCATTTCCCTGTAAAGAGGTAATTTTAGGTGTTATCACTAGTATAGCTGTGTAAATACTTTCTGTGTTTCGCTACATGTTCTTACAAACCTCACTTTTTAGACTGACTACACAGGTGAAAGAGATGGAGAGTTCATGCCATTGGCAGCTCGTGCCTCTACTACACTTGCAGGATGTAGCTCTCAAAATGTCATTCTAGAAGGTGGAGGATTATGCTTTGATGTCCTCATGTCAAAATGAATTGTTTTAAGTAAAGGACAGTATTAATCTCACCAATGTGCACTGCTTGTAAAAGAACACAACTATACGAAAATTTTTATCAATTGGCCAAGTATCTCTGTCTGATTTTAAGCAACTAAAATTTAAGGCACGGGAATAAATCTATTTGCTAAGCTGTTATGCAAGGTTCTGCGCGTATCCTAAATTCTTTCCTTTGTAAAGTTCTATGTGCTTCTAACAAGTCATCATGAATTTTGGTTATTTTAGGGAAAAACCAAAAACATGCCTCTCCGTTTTCACTCCATGACCGAAAACATACTCATGTTTTCAAGATTACAAGTTGCATATCTCTGCCTCACTAAATAACTTAATTACCCTTTCTTGTGTAAAACACTCAAAAACCTACCCTCATATCACTCAAAACACCCAAATTCTCAATCCAAATGTATCGCCACTCTCCCCTGCCACCGGCCACCACCTCTGCCGACTCGGACCGCCCACCAATTCCGCTCGTTGCCGTCACGGCCCGCTTTATCTCTCATCACCCCTCCCCTCAACCAAGCTTGGATCAGGCCAAATATCAATCCTTCCCCACCAACTCCTCTATCTCGCGATCTCACCTTTGCAACTGTCTCTCTCTCACTGTAAATTCGTCTCACTCACTCAAGGGCAGCGGCCACCGGGACCTTGAGTCGAGGTTACCGTAGGTCGTAGTGATCTGGATTGAGGTCATGACACCATAGGTGACCTCGAATTGAGGTCATGACGCTGTGGCTGACCTCAATGAGGTTGCCCATGGGATCGGCGATAGTGATCCAAGGTCACGACGCCATGGGAAACCTGTGATCAAGTCCCCCAGGCGAGGTGTGCTTCCAATGAGAGAGGATCGGGCAGAAAGTCGGGCTCAACAATGATGCTTGTGTCTAGCGGCTTCGCGGTGGCATTGGAGAAACATATGGGTGAATGGCCGGAGAGGTCAGAGGAGGGTGGCATCAATGTTGTCTAAGCTACAATTTTTAGTTAAGTGCTTTGTTGGTTAGGATTTGGATGTGGGTTGGTGTAAGAAAAAGGGTAGGGGCATTTTGGCAAAAAAACAAATAAAAATCGTGTACATAAGTATGCGAATTTGCTGAGTTGAAGTAGCAAACTTGTAGTTTTAAAAGTAGAGGTTTGTTTCTGATCATGGATGGACAACTTGGGCGTGCTTTTAGTATTTTCCCTTATACTGACAACCTTGTAAGCAAGTGCATAAATTGGCCGAGTTAAAGTAGCAAACTCGTAGTTTTAATAGTTGAGGTATGTTTTTGTTCATGGGTGGAAAACCGAAGCATGTTTTTAGTAGTTTCCCTTACTTCAATGATGATATGCGTCAATAACCACTTCTCTTTGCTTAGAGAAAATCTTACATACCTCAACCGTTTTGGCATCTTTGGAGGTCTCTGCTTCTCCAAGATGGTTGTGGTATCGCTCGAGGATGTTGGTAAAGCTACAATAGTCGGGTACTTTATGTCAGAAATATCAGGATATTTGTTTAACATGTAAAGAAATACAACATAATTGGCACAAGATTAGAAGAAAAATTTCATAGACTTCACATGCTGCTTGCTAGAGCAGGATGACATGCACAAACGAAATTTGGCTTTGTTCAATGTAGACGCCATTTCTGCCATGTTCTATCTTTCTCAATTTATTTAGCTCGTGTGATTGGAAATGGCTTGCAACTTGTACTTGAAAGTATCACTAGCTTAAGCATAGGGCCTGATTTTGGGTGGTAGTGGTAACAGATATATTTAGGAGATTCTGTATATTTCCCTTTATTGGCCTTAATTGATTGTAATTGATATTTTACTACTTTAGATAGTCATCTTATAAAGCTTAAAAATAGACCCATTTGCTCTTCCATTTAACAATGTACAAAATATTACATTTTTGTCATCACAATTCTCAACTTGGCATTAGAGCCTCATTAAGTTTGTTTTGAACAACGCCAGCTACATTGACCACGATTCTCTACGGTGGTAGTGACGACGCCAACCGCATCATCGGCCGCGTCGCTCCTGTTTCTCCGCCAAGTTGCGGACTTTATAATCTTTGTGGACGATTATTCTCGTTATACATGGCTTTATCTTATGAAAAATTGATCTGAATTTACTCATTTCTACTGTGATTTTGTTGTCATGATAAAAGCACAATTTTCTCAAAATATCAAGTTTTTCATTCGGATAATGCCACGGAATATAAAGACATTGAACTTCTTAGAATTCTCTCCCAAAATGGCACTATTGTTCATTGTTCTTGTCCAGGAACTTTCCAACAAAATGGTCATGCAGAGAGCAGAACATAGTCATATTTTAGATATTCCACGCACTCTTCTAGTCTCTGCATCATGTCCAAAACAGTTTTGGGGAGAGGCTTATCTTATTGCTGTATACACTATCAACCATACTCCATCACCTATCATAGGTAACATTTCTCCTTATAAGCGCTTGTATGGTAGTGTCCCCAATTTCAATCTACTTCGAGTTTTGGTAGTGTTTGTCTTATACATCTTCTTCCATATGAGCACAAAGTTAGAACCCTGTGCTCGTTTACATTGCTTTTTTGGGTATGACATTGAAGACAAAAAGTATAAATGTTGGCATCACATATCTAATCGTCTTCATGTCTCATCATGTTACCTTTTGGGAACACAAGATGTTCTCATCTCTCGATCCCTTCAATCATTGACTCATTTTCCCTTCTTTACCAATACTTCAATGGATTTATCCCAAATTTCGTCCTCTTGTGAATCTTCTCTCCGGAAGTGCCTTCTTCTTATAATATTGACGTAGGTCCTACAAGTGATACCACCTCGGAAGCTTTTGATGTGTATGCTCCATATGTAGATTCGTCACTAACCGACATTGTCGCTCCACCAAAGTAAGTCGACCTTCCGTTTGACTTCTTAATTACAATTGTTACTATACAATTGTTTTTCTTTCTGTACCCCGCACAAATAGAGAAGCTAATACTAATTCTCTGTGGCAAAAAGCAATTGCAAATGAGTTGCAGGCCTTAGACAAATCTCATATGTGGTATTTGGTCAATTGTCTCCTAAAAAGTCCATGTAGCTTGTAAATGGGTATATAAGATTAAAATAAAGGTAGATAGTACTATAAACCGTTACAAAACTCGACTAGTGGCGAAAGGCTTTACTCAAGAATACATAGTTGACTATGAAAAGACTTTTGCTCTTTTTGCATGCCTTACTTCTATCCACAACCTTCTTGTTGTTGCCACAGTTAAGCGCTAGTCTCTGTTCTAGATAGTTGTTAAAAATGCATTCCTAAATGGTGAATTGCTAAGTAAGTTAAAATGCTGTCTTCTCTTTGATACACTCCTCTTCCAACAAAGTGTGTCAATTATGTAGAGCATTCTATAACCTGAACAGGATCCTTGTGCATGGTTTCCAAGTTTAGTTCCACCATGGAATCTCTTGGCTTCAAATTTAGTCCCTATAACCATGCTTTTTTTTTGTTCAGCACACATTTCGTGGGTATATGTTGCTCTTATATGTGGACGATATGGTTATTATTGGCAATGATCATATTGGCATTTTAAAATTAAAGAAAAATCTAAGTCAACAATTTCAAATGGGGCGGGCTTCTTTGGTTATTATCTTTCACAAGCCAAATATGCCATTGATCTCATTTCTCAAGGCGATCTTACTAACAACGAGGTCACTACAACCCCTATTAAGACCAATGCCATATTTGATGTCATAATGAGGCCCATCTTTCAAATGCTACACTCTACCGGCAGCTAGTCGGCAATCTTATGTATCTCACAGTTTCTCAACCTGACATTGCCTATGTTGTTCATAGTGTTAGTCAATACAAGACTGCGCCCCGTATGAGTCATTTTGCTGCAGTCCTTTGAATTCTTTGCTACATCAAGGTATGTTATTTGATGACTTTCACTTTTCTACTCAATCTACTTTAGACGTTGACAGCTTATTTTGATGCTGACTAGGCTGGTGACCCTCAAGATCGTCGCTCCACTACAGGCCACTGTTTCTTATTGGGCACCTCACTTTTCTCGTGGCGTAGCAAAAAATAGACCCTATCGCTTGCTCTAGCACAGAAGCAGAATATCGAGCTCTTGCTAATACGACATCAGAATTATTATGATTGCGATGACTACAAGAAGACTTGAGAGTGCGTCATCATAGCGGGATAGTCATTCATTGTTGCAACCAAAGTGCTATCCCAAATAGCATATAATGATATTTTCTACGAATGCACAAGCACGTTGAAGTAGACTGTCATTTCACCCGATATCATATTCTTCGTGGTATTGGGACTTGTCTCAACTTCATTAGTTGAACAAACTGCTGACGTCTTCACCAAAACACATTCACCAGGGCGTTTTATGGATCTTTTCTCCAAACTCTAGTTGACCTCTTTCAAATCATCTTAAGTTTTGAGGGGATGTTAGAGATATATTTAGGAGATTTTGTATATTTCCCTTGATTGGTTCCGATTGATTGTAATTATAATTTTGCTAATTTAGATAGTTATCCTGTAAAGCCTATAAATAGGCTCATGTACTTTTTCTTTCGATATTGTGAAGAATATTACATTTTTTTGTCATCACAATCGTCATAGCATTTAGTTAGTGAAATGTATAGAAAAAGATTCCCAACGAATCTTTTGAACACAAGGTTCTTGATAAAGTCGAATTGACTGTATGTTCCATAGCATCAGTTCTTTCGCAGTTTGCCATTGTGTTGTGCACGTTCTAGCAATTAAATGTCATTGATGACCCGGACGCTAGCATCATTTTAGCTTGAAGTACTGATGCAGAATATATGCATTACAATTCAAATAATTACAGAAGATTGGAAATGAAGCCTTCGCAAATCTCTTTTTTGTATTCTTTTATGTCGCTTTCCTCTTACTTACTATGCCCATGAGGTGGCCCATTCTATAAATACAAGGAAAAGAATAGTGCTAGAGCTACTGCAGCTCTAAAATTGTGCTTTGCGAAGAAGTCAAGGTTGAGATTCAATTGCTAATGATAAGAGTCACACATTTGCAGAGCCGCAGGCGACTAAGTCTTAAGAAGCTAGTGTATAATTACAAGTGCAGGATTTAGTCGATAATTGTCACATAGAAATACTGCAATAGAAATGTTCAACTCTTGCAGTGAGACATGCATATCAATCTTGTAAGTCCCCATGTAGAAGCCTAAACACCACAAGAGAAAGTTGCCTTTTTTCAGCGTAATCTAACTCCAATTGCTGTTGGGTGTCCTAGAAGCTTATTTAGGAGTTTGAGCTCACGCTCTTCAACGACCACACATGCATTCGGTACAACATAAGATAACAAACCACCTTTCTTGTCGCTTACAAAATTCTCGACGCTGGTTCGTTATTGCATGACAACTCCTATTCCTCCCCCCCGGTTTGAAATGACAAGGAAGAGATCACGAACAGGAAAAAGGAAGAGGAGCGGAAATGACAAGGAATGCCGCGAGTTCCCATGCCAAACAGTGTTCAGCGACCAGGTCAGAGCCCAGTAACACTCCACCCAGCCACGAATTTAAAGCGAAAATCGACCGAGAGAGAGAGAGAGAGAGAGAGAGAACAAACGCGCGCACAGAACGCACCAAAGATAAGCAGCGAAAAAGCAAAAGGGAAATCCTAACAAACGGGTAAGCAACAAACCACAAAGAAATCGAATTGTGAAGCAAACAAACACAACAGTAAACATCAAGCAGAAAAGGCTTCGAAAGCCTCACGGTCGCTCGTACGGTCGCAGTGCGACGGAGCGACACCGAGCGAGCGAGGCACACGAGCGTTCCGCGAGAGCGACGGAGGGTGGAGGGGGGGGGGGGAATCGAGGGGCGCACCTGTCGCCGCTGCAGAATTCGTAGAGCTTGCCGCGGCTGGAGAAGACGGCGAGGGCGACGTCGACGTCGCAGAGCACCGACAGCTCGCGCGCCTTCTTCATCAGCCCGCCCCGGCGCTTCGAGAAAGTCACCTGCCGGCTACTCTTGTCGGCGATCCTCCGAATCTCCACCTTCCTCCGCCCCATCCGCGACGGCCGCCGCCGTGCTCCGCCCCCCGGCGCTCCGAATCGAGGAGGAAGAGCTTTTCCGAGAGAGAGAGAGAGAGAGAGAGAGAGAGCGAGCGAGAGTGTGTGCGTGCGGCGATGTGCTTTGGAAGGGGGGAGGGGGCCGAACTGAAAGGACGCGCGCACGCCAATCTCATTTTGTTTCGCTCTTCTCTCGTCAAAATCTAATTTAATTTAATTTAATTTAATATAATTTAATATTGAGTTGAGTCAGTCAATTCCGGGATTAAATAATCCCAGAAATTAGGCAGGTCGACACGTGTCTTGCTCGCGAGTCCCCTGCTAGATGCTGCTGCTCTTCTTCTTCTTCCTTTGTCTTTTTTTCTGGGGATTTGCTGCCACGCTCTCCGACTTATGATGGTTCGGCTCGCTAACGCTTTTTAGCAAGGGGGTTTTATTATTCAATACTCATGAAGGGAACTTGCTATTCCTTTTTTTTTATTATATATAAAGTGATTGCTAAGCATGTCGTAATAGAGTAACTATAAAGTACTTTAGTTTGGAAAACATCGAGATAAAACGGCCCTTTTACGACATCCGTTAAAGATTCACCGATTGTATCTTTGGTCATGGAATTTTCTATTTTTAGCAAGCGACTTTTTCTTGAAACATGTTATTCTTAAACTCAGTGACTATGTGCATTTTTGGGCAATGGCGGAACAAGTTACCTTTCCAAGATAATATTGTCTTTCCTTCCTTCAAATCCTGTACAGATTAGTCGGTTACGTACGAAGGAAATGGCCAACGTCATATCTGTGAACAGCTTGCTTGTAAGTGGATCACATCCTTCTCCCATTATTGTCAATCGGGATCCTTCACCCACATGATGGATTGAACTGAATACGGATTGGGCTTTTATAGGTAAATTCGGATTCACAGGCACAAGAGGATTATTTAGTGTTGAAGGGGGTGCCTGCCTTGAAAGTTTTGACTCTTTCATTGGAATATGTTTGTTGTTGCAAGCTGAATTTTGAGCACAAAGGCTGAGACTCAACTTTGCCAAGCAACATGGTTTCCACAAGCTCATTATTGACATGGACTTGAAAGTTATTATTGAACATATGAACAAAGAGACCTTGGTGGATGGCATTGGACCTACTTTGCTAAAAGACATTAGAAGAATGTTTGGGCTCTTATTCTGAATTTAAAGTACAACATAACTCCGAAAAGGAAATCGTCTTGCCGATTGACTTGCCGATTGACTTGCCAATCTTGGAATAAAGAAGCTCTTGCACACTATGTTCTACTCACTGTCTCCTAGAGAGTTGATTCATGCTTTGTTAGGTGATAAAGTAGGAATAGTAATTTTTAGACGTTAATTTGTATTTTGTATACTTTCATTTATGTCCCAACAATGCGTCATTGCTATTTTTAAAGATCTTAACAGTTGCAGTTAATACACTGATTAATGAGATCTTCACAACTTCAATAAATAATCATAGTACAGCCTTAGTGATACCAAAAGAGCTCTTAACCAATCACGAAAAACGGAATCTATTATAATTGGATAGTCAAGAATTCGACTGATAAGACCTTGAAAACTTCTTTGGATGTCATATGTGTTTCAAGTAATGGCAGCAACATTAAAGCTAGACAAAATTAATTTCCAAAAAGAGGTACTAAATTAAGAACGCCCTCAGAATACCACCGATGAATGCTCCAGGTGTCGCCGTCTGAAGCAAATCTTATAACAACAAATTGGGTCAAGACGATTTCTAATCTGCATACAGATAGAGACGGTGGAGGAAATCGATGTCTTTCCTTTTCGTTATGGATGATCCCGGCTTTATCCGCTAAAACATTTCGGTGGAGGACAGTCGAATCAATGACTCTGACGTTTTGTTGGTTTTTCAAGACGTGTGGTTTCAATTTCATGGGTGCATGCATTGTGTTGTCCGAGAGGGAGAACGACAGAGCCGGTGGACGAGTGACAAAATATTGGGCGAGTGGGATGAGTTTTATCCCACTATACAGTTAAAAAGAGCCGTGTATCTCAAAGGTATCAGAGGGGAGCGGTTTCAATTTCCGTGCAGATTTCCATAAGAATAGATTCTTCATTTTTTAAAACCTGAAACCTACTCTACATATCTTAGAATCTGAAATCTATTCTGTCACAGATTTCAGGGTAAAATAGATTTCAGGGGTTACCCAGATTTTACATGTGCTATTCATTGAACGATTACAGTGAATCATCACATTTAATGAGCACCACTTGTTACTACAATACACTAATTACAGCTTATAGTTAAACACATGAAGAATATGAAAATTAACAAAGTAAAAGTTTCAGTCATAAAATGGAAAACTCAGACTAGTGGTTCAAGATTATACACTTATCATCGAATGTCATGAAATACCACATGATTGCGCAAAGACATAGACAAAAAAAAACACAAAAACTAGTCTCAGGTTCCATGTTTCACCATCTACAATCAGGAACCTATCCGTCGAAACAGATTTTTTAATTTTTGAAACCCAAAACCTACCCCACATATCCCGAAACTTGGAATCGACAGGTTCCCGTCGATCCGGTTCTCAGGTTTTAGGTTCTAACCTTGGAACCATGCTCACCCGTAAAGGGTATATCACAATTTTTAGGGGTGGACGATGAGGGTGTTGTTTTTTTTTTTTTTTGTTGCCAAGCTAAGGGTGTGCTTATTTGAATGAAAGAAATTTTCGCAAATTTAGTTTTATGGACTTTCGCGCATTTGGTTTGTTACAAATGATTAGTCAACAAAATGCATTTACAATAAAAAAAAAATATGCATGCTTAGAGTTGGAAAAATGAATTTCCTATACTGAAAAAAGGGGATAACATTTTCCTGAAAAATGATTTCCCGAAAAGCATTTTCCTTTATCATGAGGGGGGCGTTTGTTTCACGGAAAATGAATGATTTTTGGAAAATATCTTCATAAAACAAATCGTTTTATTGCTTACAAAAATGAATTAACGAAAAATATTTTCTTCGTACACGAAAATAGTTAGACATATAATAAAAATATTTTTCATTGACTAATTATTTCAAGCGATATAAGCGACTAATTTTAGGAAATTATGTTTCAAATCATTCATTTTCTGTAAAATAAACGGAGGGTGAATTTCTTTCATTGAAAATTTCATGATAAAGGAAAAGATTTTCCATGGATATTATTTTTTAAAAAAACGGTTAGTTTTCATTTGGTTGGTGGTTTAGGGAAAGTGTTTTTCTTCTTGCGAGAAGGAGAAGTCGCTTTCCCCCTAATCTAAGCTTGTTGTTATCAGTCCATGGTAAACGTTTTACATAGATCTAATAGTTTTTTAGCATCCAAACATTGGAAGGTCGAAAAATAATTTTTCGAAAACAATTTTTCTACTTTGAATTTAAATGTTCGATTTAAAAGATAGTACGGATAAATGAATGCCAAATACGAGAAAAATGAATATAAATTATACATTTTTTTACAGCTACTTCCGGTCCACTAAATAACCTAGCATTTCCTCCGCTAAGACCAATTGACTAGAGGACTTACTCATTTCTTCGCATAAGATAATCACCCATCTTTTGAGACAAACACTAGTCTTTAAGTTCACTTTGATGCTTTCCATTCGTCCGTTCGTTATTGTTCTTCATGAAAAATTTCGTGCACTTCAACCCAATTCAATACAACTAGGCCCTCAGAAAATCCAATTCGACCGAATGCCACAAATTGGCCCAATGATCTTCTCTGATTCTGATGGTTCTATTGTTTTTTGATAGCTAACGACTCTAATGGCTTTAGGATGTTCGTTAAGTTAACCACGATTGACGGTCCAAGATTGGTTGGATGATTTAATGGAGTGACGTGATACTTCGAGAGCAGCTAGAGCGACGCTCTCTCTCTCGTTCTCAGTTGACTCAAGAGCCACTTGCAAATCCATCGATCTTGTAGAGGCAGATTATTGTAGATAGGTTTGAAAGTACTAATCCAGTGTTTTAGTGAACAAACGATCCGAAAGCGATTAGGGTTACAAAGCCCCTAAGGTCCAACACAAAAGTTAATAGCAGCATTATCAATTCGGCATGTTCATCGAACGGCAGACATAAGACACTGATTCTTACGGCCAGAATCGATACAAGCGCTCAACGGCCTCGTCGTCTTCAAGGCAACCATCCGGGCATGAAGTTATTTGTACTTGGCCCTCCCGTTACAGCAGACGACATCGGATCGGGTTGGTATATGCTATTCATCGTTTCAAAGAAAAGAAACCCAAGATTAACGTATAGAACAACAGTTAAAACGAGAGGCACCACCTAGGCAGGTAAAACTAATCTCCTCAAACAACGCTAATGTCACGACACCCATAGAGTAAGTCAACTATGGTATATGCAGTTGTACAATAGTTGCTTGTGATGACATGGATTGTGCTTGGGTAAAGCGGAACATGAGCTCAAGCCCATCATCTCCATCCCTATCCAATCCTTTCATCTAATTGATTTCAATAGAAACACAAACCCAATTTCTATCCAATCGCACCAATCAATGCTATTGGGTCGTGAATAGTAAAACGTGACATGGACTCAAGCCCGTCAAAATCATCCAATTGTCTACCAAAACGAGGAGTGATCAATAGTAAAACATGATGATTGGCTTGATTAAGGATTACTTACCCCATTTGCAAAGTGGGTTCGCATTCCAAGGGATGAAAAAAGGCTTCACCGTGAGGCTGAGCATGTGGGGGCGGCGGCGGCGGCGGATGACCGTATCCTCCGACTTCCTCTGCATATTGATTCAACTGGAGCGCATTCACTTGGTATCCTTCCATCAACTGAAAAGCCAATCACCCAAAAGTACGTAAATTATATTCTATTAAGATGAACCATAATCATGCAAAGGGACAAAATCGTGATATCAATTTGGTCGAGATGAGAAGGTGACCTTTCAAACCTATGACACGATTCGAACTTGATCATAGATATATCAATGTAGTCAGGATGATGAGGTGAACCCTCAAATCTTTGATACTTTTCAAATTTAAATTTCGTATGCATAATATGAACAGATCAAAGTATCAGCGGTTCATGCCAAATTGGAGTGATGAGTTTAATGAGTAGGTGCAATTTTCACAAAATCACGTAATACACAGCTTAGATTCCGCATGGCCTACCCGTTGATTCAAGGCCTTGTTTGCTTCGTGAAGCAACTGTTCCTGCACATGCAATTGCTGCTATTAACCAACCGACTGGGCACGCATACAGATGAATACAGAGTTAAGAGAGGGAGCTGGGAGGATGACAGACCCGACGTTGAAGATCACTCAGCTGATCCAACATGCACTGAGTCTGCAAAATCAAAGAAGAAAGTGAAGAAATCCGAATGCACATAGAATTGAAAAAGTTCATTGCGCAAATGCTCGAAAACTCTATTTTCTTTGAGGTGGTTTGTCATAGAGATATATAGCTACACGACGTGCCTCCTGATGACATGATAGATAACCTTAACACGGGATCACACGTGCTAGCGAAAATACAAATAAATTAGCTTGTTATCTTGAAGGTATGCTAGGAATGCTTCGTCAGGTTTTCGTGGTTGAATAGACAATGTAGCTAGGAATAAATTCGCAAAGTAGGATAAATTCCTTAAAGGGGGAGGTGCAAGATAAAAAGCTTTGGGCCCTTTTTGGATCATCTATCAAATCTTGACGACAGGCACAATAGTAAACAAGTCTTAGCAGAACAAGCCCCAAAGGAACATGTCTTAGCAAATCATTTCTCTTGAAACTAAGTCATCCAATTGACTTTTTCAATGCAGTCTTCGCACTTCTTGCAAAATCTGCCTTGACGATTGCAGTAGTTTAGTAGTGCAACAATAGAATGATGGCAGATTCATCGATTTGTTTTACCTCGTTTCACCACTAAGTTAGGCAGATCGATGAAAATTAACAGCAGCGATTGACAGAGTCACTTGGATTCATGATAATGACTCAGGATGTGACTTGAATAGAATTCATGAAAACAATTTACGTACCCTTCGTGATCTGATCTGCTTCAATGACGCATCTAACTGCCTTTCCAAGGACTCGAGCTCTTTGCTGCTTAACGGGCCGAGTTCTTCTCCCAGAAGATTCCTGGTTCCCGATAACATGGATAAACCCCGATCATATAGGAAATTAATTGCGCCTTGCGAATGGTGAAATTAAATTAAGAGGGCTATAGAAACTTCAATACCTTTGAGTTCGCTGTAGCGCTTCGTAACGAGCCTTAAGTCTCAAATATTCCTGCTGACAGCTTAGCTCCTACATGCGGACCAAAGAAAAGGGCAATAAGAGCTAGAAAACAGATGTTTATTCACAAGGCTCAAGCAATAGTTATATTATTGGTAACAAATATGCAGTGCATATCTACAGATTATAGTTTTGGCGTAAAAACTGCATCGACATAAGTTCACTAGACAGACATGGTGCATATCCATGCGCACACATGCAACTGTCAAATTTAGTGAAACGTTTGTGACAAGCGGAAGTTTAGTCACTAGACATTGATATGCACAGTACATATTTATAGGCAATTTCAATGCGAAAACTTGATAATTAAAAGCCCGATTAGTTGTAAAACAGCCAGTGAGATTTAAAACCAGTTCAAGAAGATTGCAGACAATGTCGCATCAAGCTTGAAGATTCCTCCTCTCCTGATTAAACAAATCAACAAGTAGCAGATGTTGAATTGCTATTACTATACTCAATGTTAAAGTAACATTTCTTTCTCACAAAAAGTATTTGAGGAGCTAGCTCCTAAAGAAAAGGATTTTACATAACCTGTTCTTTTCAATCCTAAAGGATCAATAATATCCAAAAGCTATATGGACCAAACCATTAGAATGCTTAGACGACCGTCCCTTGCCTACTGGCTTACTAGGGCTTATCATATGAGAGCAAAATGCGGCTAATAATTCACGTTTTTTTTTTTTGCTAGAAATTCACGTTTAGCCCTTCTTTTTTCTTGTGAGGGGTTGCCACTAAGACTACAGCAAAGACAAAAGAAAAAGCAACCGCGACAACAATTGAAATGCACTAATATACCATAACCAAGCTCTTTTGCTATCAAAGGACTTAATTTAAAATAACACTTTTGCAGTATTTTATGCTCGATTTTGTATATGAATTTCAATGACTAAAAGGTCTTTTCTAATTTCTTTTTAGGCCTTTTCTTACGTTCGTGCAAAAGAAACTCGCCTTAGGTAGATAAACTTTGGACTCGAATTTCATTACCATTTTGACGATGTTTCCTTCTATGAAGTTACATCATATTACAGTATAAACACAATCAATTGTCCAGGTAGTGGGGCATCAACACTCGTGCCCCTGGATTTTTGGGCAAAAGCTGCAACTGTCTATTTTTTTTTTCTCTTCCGCTTACCTTCTGTGTAACCAACCCGACATTCATTTTCACTTGTAAAAACCACATCCGCCAAACCATAATCATTACTCATCTTTATTCATTTTTTTATAAGTTTGGCTAATCAAGTACATGATCAGTTAAAAAGGTTATATATGTTTCTTTCTATTACGGTATTAAAATATTAAATCACGTCTTAATCTAGCTATTTAAGCTTTTGAAGCAATCGGCTGTGATTCCAAAAAAATTTTGCACTTTTTAATCAATCACGAAATCCCCAAAGTGCAAATCCTTTCAAATGCTTCCCCTCAATACTTATCCATCCACAAGCATATGAGACAAGCCAAACTCAATCAAGGACCAATAGCTGTGTTGCGTTATGCCATTATATGTTCAGCATTTGCATGACATGTTTGTGCTTCAGATGTATATGGTTAATTAGCTAAAGGATAAACTTGCTCGTGTGAAATCTGTAGCTCCTGATATGGTAAAAGACACAGAGAAAACAATAACTTTATTAGTAAACTATATACCATTTATAATATATAGTGAACAAACGTGTATGAGTGGGTGCATGAGCTTCAGGCATTGAGAAGATTTTAATAGCATTTTACTGCCAGACTATCAATGTATCAATGCAACAAGGACCAGCAGTAATAGGAAGATTTAGCTAATAGAGGAGAGTTAAAGTATGTTCAGGTAAGTATTATGATCGACAGTTCTGTCCATTACCAAGGATTCTCTTGCAGACACATTCGGCTCCAGGGCTCCATAGTTGCACTTCTGATATCTCTCTAGAGTCTTGAGCATGCTACAATATTGTCACGAAAAATATGAATTAGGAGTAGAATAGACTAGAACATTTGATGGCTAAGCGGCAGTTTCGATTTTCATAGAGGAAGAAATGGTCAATAACAGCACGTAGTCAGGCGGACTACGATCTATTTGCGGGAAACTTCTTGAATGCTTTTCAAGCACTCGCTAACGCTGGAGAAGATATGAGCTCCTTTGGAGACGTTCAAAATGAATTAATCAAAGATAAGAGCAATTTACACAAGCACCAGAACCGCTTTGCAAGTGACCTAATCTGAATCATTGCTTTGGAGATAATAAGCTAAGGTAGCACAAAGCATATGAACAGGAGCCATAAAGACTAAAACTTAGGAAAGATTGATACAAGCCGTCAAAAACATCTCATCGATTAAATTGAGGATGTCGGCAGGAATTCGTAACTTGATGCCCGTATGTTTGAGCCATTGCTTGAAAATCCACTGATCAAAGAAAACAAAATGCGAATAATTTAATTATGGATTGATTCATTGCGCTGCATAGAAAATTGTATGCTCGAGTGAGTACGACTTCTTTTTAATTATTATTTGTGTAGACCACATAAGGGAAAAAAAATTGATCAGAAAGGAATTGGAACAGCTTCTGGCTAAGAAGGAAAAGGCTTAAAGATAGGAACTTGAATAGTTCAGTCTCAAGGGGAATTTGCATGAGGAAATGAGCGATCCCGCGGTTAATAACAAGAATCCCCGCAAAAGGGCACATCTTGAAACCTTTCAGACACAAAATCACACGCAGATGGAGATCGTATTTGCGAAAATCCAGACACGAATCATTAAGAAACACTCAATCACGCCCACAAATCTAGACGTGAATAGAGAGAGAGAGAGAGAGTGAGAGTGAGAAAGAGAGAGAGAGAGAGAATGGAAACCCTAGACTTCCATCAACTTCGGGAACATCAAACCCTAGGAAGAAAGTTGATGTCTGGATTAGATGTTCAATCAAATTGATTGCGCAACATCAATATGTGAAGATAGAGAAGGAGAGACGGCTTAAGACACAGCGGTAAGAGAGGCAACACTAACACAGGATAGAACAGTTGCTTAAAATTTTTTAAAACCATCGATTTAACGCAACATTTCTTGGGAAAAATGGTGTCTTTTCTGTCTCTCAAAACTGGGTTACCGAAGGAAAGAAAAACTGCAGTGAAGTTGAACAAGTAAGTTTGATCAGCAAAAAACCAAAAAAAAAAAAAACAAAAAAGGGAAACTTGATATGAATGCCCAAACATGTTGGGGGCTCTAAGGTGGAAGGCATAGACAAGAACCCAAAAACAACGTGAAGCTGGTTAAGCTTGAACAAGACCTAAACCTCTTCCTCAAGCTAGAGACCCTCCTAAACCCAACAGATTATGAAATAAAGGAAACGAAAAATCAAATGGGTCAGTTGAAAGATGGTTTCTGCTAGGATAAATTTTCATGATCTGCTGCAAAAATGTCAGCTTCCTCTTCTGTGGCCGCAGATTCAGAGAGGAAAAGGAGAAGTAATAGATCAGACACTCTTCAAGATTTGAGCATCACATGAGACCCTTTTGATAGGAGGAACCGAAAAGGTTTTGAGGTTGAGGAGCTTTACCGGATCAGAAGATCTCCGCAGCAGCATCGTCTTCAAAGTGCTTCATTTTATCATCAGATAATGGAGCCAAAAAGATTGGATTATATTGAGGACATGACCAAGTCTGAAGATTGGTTTCGTTCTCAAGGCAGTGCATCGTATCGCACTTTGAACAGACTTACCATAAAAATGTATGATTTTTGCATTGAATTGTGAACCAAAGAAGGAAAGAGAGAAGGAAGGGGAAAAGAGCCCAAGAAAAGAGAAAAGGAAGAAAGAACACAAAACAAGGAGCCACAGAAGACTCGGTAGCTTCTTTCCATGGTTTCCCTTTTGCAGATCTAACATCAAAGCAACACTCAACCTTCTGAAAACGCCGAGACATTCCTCAAAAAGGAAACAAAAAAAATAAAACATTCAAACCTAAACATCAAAGAGAGGAAAAAAGACACTGCCTCTTTATTTCCCTTTAATTTTCAAAGAAGACTGAAAAAAGCAAGAAACCATCTCACACCGCACCCTTCAAGACCCAAACCGAAATAAATGAAAAGAAGCAGAAGAAAAGGTTGAAAACAGCCAAAATCTGGAGAATCTAAGATGACCCAATAGAGTTAGGGAGAGAGATACAGAGAGAGAGGAAAAAAAAGGTAGGTTTCGCTTTGGTTTCCTTGCTTCTTCTTTTTTAACTTAGGAGGGAGAGGCTATACGAAATAATTTGTTGTTGTTTTGGTGATAATACCTCGAGCTGCTGCAGAACTCGTACAGCTTTCCTCTATTGGAGAAGATGATGAGAGCAACCTCCGCATCGCAAAGCACGGAAAGCTCGTAAGCTTTCTTCAAAAGACCATTCCTTCTCTTCGCAAAGGTCACTTGCCTGTTGATCTTGTTCTCGATCCTCTTCAGCTCCACCCTTCCTCTCCCCATCCTTTCCCCCCCTCCCTTTTTCTTTTCCTTTCTCTTGTCTTTGCTGTTTTCGTCACCAACCCACGATCCCACAAATTTGTTCACTTCTTCAAAAGAGATCTCTTCTCGTTTCTGTAACCCTTCTTGTGTCTAGCCATACTTATGCATGGTCTCTCTCCTCCTCCCCTCTCTCATAGGAAGCGTCACCGCTGTAAAGTCAACAAAAGTATCAGCCCCCCGTGTACTTTTTGTCATGATGAGGTTCTTCGAGGGCAATTACAGTGTCAAGAGACCAGAACCACCCAATAAACCAGACCCAGAAAACTCCCCCTCCTTGATTAGTTTGAATGCATAATGGTTCCTGCATGTATTATTGCTACGTAACAGGTAGGACTTTGGAAATTCGCTGAAAATGACATGCGATGGAATGTTAGTTAGGCCGGTTATATTAGATCGAATCAATCACATATCAAAGCATTCATTTGTAGAGCTCACAAAGCTTGAAAATACGAAGTCTATTATGACTTATGTGATGTGATTGGTTCTATTTATCGTTTGTCGCTGGGAATAAAAGTTCGATCGGACGGTGGAGGAGCGGGGAAGACGAAAGCTTGAGGAACGACATCCAACGGAGACCAGGAGAGATAGACAATGGTCAGCTGCGAGTGGAGAGGCACACGTTGGAGAGGCTGGCGTGATCAATGCGAAAGGTCCCCGGCCAGTGCCACGTGTCAAGAGGAGAAGTAGAGATCGATCTACGAATAATGGTCCGTTTGTTTTGCAAAAAGATTTTTTTTGATCGAGGTTCATTTTGCTTAGAAATATAAATTAACGAAAATTGTTTTCCAAATCAATGAAAAGCCTATACTTAAATTCAGGAAAATGATTTTCTCTCTGAAAAATCGAAAGACATTTTCTAAAATATGGCCATGTATCGGCACTTGAACCCGAAACTTTACTCTTGAGCATAGAAATCCCAACGCTGATTCTTGAGTCCCCGGCGGTCAGGATCATTTCTTCAGCGCCCAAGCCTGGGTTCAGGTACATCGAAGCTAAGCCTGATGCCCTAGCGCCCACGCTCGGGTCCATCGAGGCTAGGCCCAAAGCCCTGGTGCCTGTACTCGATGTTTCGACACCCGAGCCTGAGTTCATAAATGTCGTGCTTGGGTCCTTGATGCTCGAGCTTTGGTCCCTGGCACTCAGGCCCAGGTTCACAAAGGCCGAGCGCAAGTCCGCGGCTCAGGCTCGGCCCACGCTCAGCTCGGATCCTTAGTTAATTAAACATTCATTTTTATAACAGTATTTTTTTCAAAAATCAACTTTTTTAATTATTTTTAATTTTCTTTTCTTTTTCGTTTTTTTCTTTTCGTTCTTCCTCTCCCGATGGTCGACCATGGTGACGTGCAGCGAGCTTGAGTCCTCGCTAGAGGTTGACGAGGTCAAGCTCGTCGCGGCGAGTTCGACCTCGTCGCGGTGAGTTCGACCTCTATCGAGGCTTGAGCTCGCTAGCCTTGGGTGAGCTCATTTCTAACCTGTGGCCGGTTGCAAGCCAAGAAATTAGAAAAGAAAAAAATAAAAAGAAGAAAAAGAAAATTAATTAAGAATGCAATTTTTTTTGGTAATTTTCTTTAGGAAAATCAAATCAGATTTTTCAAATCAAACGACGGAAAATATTTTCTAGTTCATTTTTAAGTTTCAGCCAAACAACAAAAGATATTGTCATCTTCCTAAAAAATTGTTTTCTGGAAAACATTTTCCAGACGTGTCACGTTTTCCGTGAAACAAACAGAACTTTAACCTTAACAAAAAGATTAGAGAAAATCGTATGTCCCTAAAAACTAGTACTTTAGGGTTTTCTCTATTGTCGGATTTAATTGCGCCACTATAATTTGTTGCGATAAACATGTCCAAAGGAAAAGAAATGATTACAGATTAATTGAGGTATTGCGTAGATTTTTAAAGATACCACACCGGTTTAGTGTTCATTCATATCTTAAACCTTTTTTCGTGAAACAAATCCTTTTCGATAAATATAAAAGGAAAATGCGACACTTCTAATATTTGGCATATGTACATTACGAGTATTATTTATCGAAAAAGGTTTGGAAAGTGATTGTTATTACCAGCGAAAAAAGATAAATATAAACATGTTCGTTCGTGACATTCTGGGGCGTATAACATAAGCAACATTTTGTATATATTATCGTCTAGCTTCCCGATAGCTTGTATTTATAGGAAAAAAATAGTTTGTCCAATATACGGACCACAAGTGATTTAATTATGTCCATTATTCTTATTATTGTGTAGATTTCGTGTCTCCCGTCATCTGTTTGATTTAATTATGTCCAAATCTCATATCGCGTGCGTAAGGACCGGCTTGCACGCAAGGGGAAGTGTTACACGGCGTGTTATGTGGACATTCTTTGTCCATTTGCCGTGCCTTAAACTCTTGTGGAAAACAATTTGCTAACACATTTCCAATTGACTACAAGAACCTATATCGCGTTACCAATATCGCAGGACTTAAGATTAGAAACAGTTTTCTTCCGGCAGTTACAATTGTGAAAAGACATTGTAGCCTTGTATGAGATGTTCTACAAAGTCCTCACTACTACGTCGTTTTCAAACGTAGTCTCGCCCAGTTTTGAGGTATTGCAACTATAACACACATAATACTAAATGAGAAATGAGTGAATGACGGTTTTTAATCTACTGTGAAAATAATAGTCTGTTCTGAACCACAAAAAATAAAGGGTTAATACAATGAAAAACCCCAAGCTAGTATGCCTGTGATAAACTTATTCCAAACTAATTTTTTTTATCATTAAAATTCCCAAATTGGTACACATGTGATAATTTTACCCCAAACTAATTTTTTTTTGTTAGCACCCCAAACTAATTTGTTGACCACCAAAAACCTCAAACTGGTACACTTATAACAAATTTGCCCCGAACTAATTTTTTGACCACCAAAAACCCCAAACTGGTACACCTGTGACAAATTTACCCTCCGTTAGTTTTCGTTAAATTTTTACTGTCAAATTGCTAAATTTGATGACACGTGGTAATTGACGGGTGTACTAGTTTGTGGCTTTAACCTTCCGTTTGTCACAAGTTTATCAATTTATGATTTTTCATGATATTAATCCAATTTAGCGGAGGGTAAATTTGTCGCAAGTGTACCAATTTGAGGTTTTTGGTGATCAAAAAATTAGTTCAAGGTAAAATTGTCACAGGTATACCAGTTTGGAATTTTTGGTGGTCAACAAATTAGTTTGAGGTAAAATTATCACATGTGTACCAGATTGGGGTTTTTAATGGTCAAAAAATTAGTTTGGAATAAGTTTATCACATGCATACTAGTTTGAGGTTTTTGGTAGTCAAAAAATTAATATGGTGTAAAATTATTACAGGTGTATCAGTTTGAAATTTTTCGTGATATTAATCTAAAAATAAATAATAAATAATTATAAATCGATGTGGGGTCAATTCCTTCGAGAATTTGTGGCTTAAGCCCAAAATTAGGCATCAACAGGAGAAGGAAAGAAAAGGAATTTCATGTATCCGTTATAATGGCTGGGCGACGAGTGGCCATGTTTGGGGCATTCAACATTTATCTCTCTCTGTTTGTTCCATAACGTCATTAATTGTCCAGACAGACTAAACATGGTACTGGCATTGGATTCAAGATAAGCATGGCCAGTGTCGACGTTGATGCAGATTTTCCTACGTGGCACGGTCTGTGTGCTGATAGGAACAATTTTTTTTATAATATTTTTAACATTTATTTTTTCTTCTTTTTTCAATTATTTTTTTCTTTCTTTCGTTTTCTTTCTCTTATTCCAAGCCTGGCGAGGGCTGCTAGCCAATCCTCGCCACGGCCAATGAGGGTCGCAGCCTTTGCCAGATTTGGGCAAGGGTCGGCCGGCAACCCTTGTCAAACTTAATAGAAAAAAAAAAGGAAAAGAAAGAAAGAAAAAATAATAAAATAATAAAAAAAATGTTCACATTCTGCGTAGCATTAATGGCGTCTACGTCAGCGATTTCCTGTTGAAATTAGCTAGATGGACTAAACTGGCAAAATGTGAAAGGATTATAGATTCAAATGACAAAATTAAAAGATTTATAACTAAATTAACAAAAATGTAATAGTTTAACGACTTTTGGAACAATTTTGCCACCTCGTTATCTGTAACAGCTCTCACCAAGAAACGAGTTTCCAAACACTTTCTGCACCGCGATTCGCCTTTCTTCACCGCATCAAATCCAAGTTGTGGTTTCACATCTTCTGGTGCGCATGAATGATGGGACGGCGGGGACCAGCAACAGGCGCACCAATAATTACTAGGAGGTCCACATGGGGCTTTAGTTACAATTGTGGCGTGGTCCAAATGCACAGCAGAAACCAGCAGGTGTCGGTACGGGACCCCGAGGGGGATGACCAATGAAACTGGATCGCGGATGGATCCGATGAGGGCGACGGAGCCGAGACATCTCGAAGCCACAAAAAAACGTTCGCCGGTTACAAAAGATCGCAAGGCGCAGGTGTTCGTCCCTTTCCTTGTACTTTCGAGCCTGCCTTCTGAACTCAGGATCGATCCCTTCCTTCCTTCCTTCCTTATCTTTTCGGTCGTTAGATCGACTTCCGATGCGGTGCTCGAGTTTACAGTTGGTCGTGATCGAGTCATTCGATTGTTAATGTTGTTCCGATTACATCCGGATTCCGCCGAACGGAGGGTGACACATGATGTTGGGTACCGGACGGAAGTATGGCGAATAGATTGAGCGGCATCGTGATTAATCAATTTCGCGCCGGTCAAACCGCGGGAAGTGCGGGAACGTTAATCCATCGTGCACTTAAGCATAAATTTCAATGGCATCGTGGTTAATCAATTTTTTTAACTAGGTGTAATCATGTGGATCCTTAAGAAGACCCAAGAGAAAAACCACTTTTTTTTTTGTCTCGCTCCTTGGCAAGAATATTTCATAAAATAGGTAATGAAACCGTAAATACGTGAACTTTTGTCCAATTTATTATTGGGTATTCATATGTTTTTTTATTCAATCAGGTACTTCAACTTTTTAAGTATGGGTCACTAAAAATCATGGACGAGAATGCCAAATTGGAAATTGATGCTGTTAAATAACCATTAACCACCACATTGGCATTCAATGTGGCCTTTTGAAATGCTGCCACATTAATTGGAACTTCTTGGACAGCCAAAATCATCCAAGTTCCCCCCCCCCTCTCTCTCTCTCTCTCTCATCGCACTGCAAGCGAGCCACGTCAGAAGGTTTAACTTTTACCAAGTAAACGAGCCCCG